AAGGTGCGGGGGCAGGAAGGGGGAACCGGCGGAACTGGCGGAACCCGGCGGAAGGGGGAGGGATTCGTGTAGGAAGGTTGGGTAAGGGGGAGACCCTACCACGAACGATGCTGCGCCTGCTGCAGCGGCGGCGGCGGCGGCGGCGGCGGAGGTGGGGGGGTTGGTTGTGGAGGAAGGAGGGAGGTATTGGAGATACGCTGGGTGGAGTGACCAATGAGGGGCTCCTTGAACCATGTTCTGCTGTTGCTGCTGATGCTGCTGCAATAAGTGCTGCTGCTGATCCTTCTCCTGTTGCTGCTGTTGCTGCTGCTGATACTGCTGCTGCAGTTGCTGCTGCATCTGCATCTGCTGCTGCTGCTGCTGCTGTTGCTGCTGCCCTTCCGCCAATCGCAGCCCTTCAATCGCCGATGCCAGCTCAGCAGCGCTAGCCTGTCCCATTCCCCCTTCCCCCTGCCCGCCCATCATCCCAGGACTAGCCGCCCGCGCAAACACCCCCGCGCCAGCCCCTCCCCTCCCCCCTCCGCCCGCCCCCCCCAAGCCTCCCTCCCCACCGCCCAAACCCAGACCTACTCCAAAGGCTGGGGACTGCGCCCGAGGCAGACCCGCAGGTTTGGCAGCCGAAGCTGCCTGAGCCGCTGCTAGCTGCATCGCCAGTCCCGGGCTAACCCTCCCCGCGACCAATCCGGGGGGGATAAGCGGAGTCCCCGAACGCGACCCTGCGCCAAGGAGCGGCGGAACGCTACTCGCGCCCCCTCCGCGCGTGTTCCCCGCGCCCCTTCCCCCCCCTCCGCCTGCGCCTCCGCCCGCCTGCAGCCCCGCGGTGAGCAGCGCGAGCTCGTGCCTGTGCGCGTCGTCAAGCTGCAGAGACGAGCGCGGGCGCCGCGGAAGGTCATTGGCGGAAGCGCTGAGGAAAGACGGCACCGCGGCGGCGGCAGCAGCGGCGGCGGCGGTGGCGGCGTCCGCGGAATCGTCCGCGCCTGAGCGGCTGGCTGCGCGCTGAAGCGCGAAGATGGGGGAGGGCGTGCGGGGAAAGTCCTCCTGCAGAGCCGGGAACGGGGACGAGGTACGCGGAAGGTAAGGCGCGGGAGAATAGATCAAGACTTAACCACAACATATTCAACAGTAAATACGCGTTATTGTGAGGGTACATTACTTGAGAGGCTAGAGGCTAACAAGGCAGGCTAAACGTACAACTAACCTGAATAAGATCCACGAGGCTCTTAGGCCGATACGCCAACCCCGCAAATCCTCCGGCCCCAACGCCCGCTGCGCCCCATCTGTCTGCCACACCCTCGCCCCTCTCCGCGCCAGCTCCCCCCGCCCCACCGCCTCCGCCTCCGCCGGCGCTTGCGCTTGTGCCGGTGCCCTGCGCGCTCCCGTCGCCGCTGTCATTTCCCCCCGAAGTAAGCACATCCTCTAACAGACTCTCCATCTCCTCCCGATGAGTGGGGAGCGTGGTCGGCGGAAACAACAGATTGGACGACGAGGATCGCCCCGTTCGCAATCCATGCCCATCATCGAACGGTCGTAGCGAGCCCATCCCCGCGCCATCCTCCCCAAACGCCCCCGCGATACCGTCTTGACCAAGCCCCGCGCGGATCTCATACCCCCCCCCGCCCCCTTGCGCATACCCCCCTCCGCCGCTTTCCGTGCCTTCTCCGCCGCCGAGGAACTTCGACGCACCCTCTCCGCCGAGCCCTAGCGCGGCGGAAGACTGTAACCGTTGCGCCAGGCGGTAAGTATCTCGGGAAATAAGCGGCGGCGGAAGGCGGGGGTTTAAGTGGTGGTTGCGGTAATAGTACTCCAAATAACCCGGATCAGCTCTTAAAGCCTCCTCGTCCTGCAATCGATCTAGAAGCTTCCGCGCGTCCCGCTGCTTCTGCAGCTGCTGCTGCTGTTGGATCTGCAGCTGAAGCTGTTGCTGCTGCTGAAGCTGAATCGCAGCGGCTGCTCCGCCACCGCCGCCGCCGCCGCCGTCAGCCCCGGCACCCAGCTGATTCCCCAGCGCATCGGCGCCAAGAAATTGACGGTTGAAAGTAAACCCAGGGAAATTACCCATCGCAAAGATCGACCCTTCCACCGACGGCGGAGCGCTGCCGCTCCTGTGGGGGTAGTCCCGCCCGCCATATCCCCCCGCCGCAGGCGCACCGCCAAAACCCTCCGGGCCCGCCATTCCGCCCGCCATTCCACCCGTCATAGCGCCCCCCCCAGCCCCCTGCTGGTCTCGCAGCCCATACTGCGCTTCTAGGGACGCGGCCGCTGACGCTGCAGAGCCGTCTCCCGGCCCCCCAGTCGTCCCCGATATAGACACTTGCTCGTAACGAGTCTGAGAAAACGGCACATTTCCCTCCCCGGTGCCCCGTAGGAGGAGCCCGAGCTCCTGTGCGACTTGCCGATCGTCTTCCGACGCCATCGGGAGATTCATTGAATCTGGACGGATTTTAAAAGGTGGTTTACATGTGAGAGTCCCGGCGTCCGTCGAGCCATTGATGGCTCGCGAAACGAAACAAACTACGTCAGGTTAGAAGGGTTTATCAGTGTTATGTGGAGCAGTTTGAACTTTAGGGTAAGTAACGCTGTCTGGTAGCTATTGTAGGAGAGAGCTGGAAGGGTACTCAGGTACGCAAGCCGTGGGCTCTAGCGTTACGAAAGATCCTTAGCGAGTTTATCATTCACGCCCACCACCAACACGCGCCTAGATAAATTCTATCCGCGGACCATGATTCCCTGTCCACGAGTCAATAAGTGCAGTTCGCGATCCAGCGAATGAACAAACATGCACGGAGAACAGAAGGCAGGAAAAGTGGGTGAGTGGGTTGTGGACTGTCATGAGACATGCGTGACTGGTGACTGGTTGAAACAAACCAGGGCAAGAAGAGAACCTGGCAGAGAGCTGTCAATGTTCATGCAGCCTCTCTATACCCTACAGAACCTTACCAAGTTCTTGTTTCACGCTCTAAAAACGTACACAACCTTGCTGAGACACACCATTTGGATGCAAACAAATGCTGAGGCTTGCGCCGTCGAGAAAGGTGAGGCGGAAAGGGGGTACATGAGAAAAGGTGAGGCGGGGGGGTGCTTTGCCCGCCCCGTGCGAAAGTAACGCGCGAGCGACGACCATCATGCACAATGGGTTCTGACGTGGAGGGGGCACATTGGGCGAGGTCTGTGCTGCGGAAAGAACGCAGGGTGTGTTCGACGTTTGCGAACGAAGCACTTTCTGTTTTCGCGCAATGTGAGTAACACCGGCGTAATTGAATTCGGCACGACAATGACATTTTTGGCAGGAAAAACATATTATGAGCACTGCATTCGTCTCAATGTACACAGTGAATTGAACATATCTCATTTATCATTCTTCTGTATCACCTCGGTCCTCGAAACGGCCTCAGTGCCCATGTTGCCATCTGGACCGTACTTCCAGCAAATTCGCAACAGGCACGCCACGCACGAACCACAGGGAAAACCGACTTCGATATAAGAAAGCATAGAAGCTTGGAAAAGGCCCCACATTTCAGCCACACCAAACTCCAACAACCTTGGGATTGCCGAGATAGAAAGGTGGAGGAGGTTCAAAGGAGAGTAAACCGAAAAGACTGCTAATCAGCCATGGAGGATCGAGGTGGTTAGGTGACGGTAGGTGGTCCGCCATGGATAGTTGTTTACTGGATTACAGACTCTGTGGTTCGGTTAGTTAACAAAAGGGGATTGTCCTTAGTGTAGTGGATCGAGTACGATGGATATTGTCGTGATGGTTTAGTGTGACTGAAACCTCTCGAAGAAATCAATCTTGGAGAAATAAGCACTAGGTTTCATTCGCCATTGAAGGTCATAATCAACTAAGCAGGCGTGGATCGTCCTTAATTTATATCACCGTTCTACACGACAACTGCTTAAGTCTGGGTCGCCGGTGAGTAAGGCGCGAAATGACAGCACCTATGTCATGCTGACAAGGTTTCACTGTTTAGGACCCTCTTATTTTTGGTTTATCCCGGAAGCCAATGAAAACTTGCTGTCCAAATTGAAGTATCGTTACCTTTGGGGCTTATCTCCTAGCTAAGGCATCAATGGCGACGGTAAAAACAGCGTCAACTTGAGCATTGGCGCTCTTAACGTAGCTCCATGTCGCAACTCCGTTTCGTAACGATTGCTTTTTCCTATGATTGTTTTCTGCAAAATTCATGCTCGCCTTAGTCATTGAGTACTAGCTAATGCGTTCACTATAGCTTGTTGATTCGCTATTTTAAAAGGGACGAGATATGGGTTGGCCGTTCTTTCTTGATTCAAATGTCACGGTCTATAATGGTCTGGAAGGGAGCAAGAGTATGTTTTTATCCTGTTCCAACTGTAGAGAAACCGGAAGAACGCATTTATGTCTCTGGTGTTTTTCTGGTACTAAAACTGTTGCAGCTCTCGCAGTACCTTCTCGTCGCTTCGTTAAGGTTTTCCTTTATTCCGTCTCTTTCTTCTACTCTTTTTTGCCGTCTTGCCCTTTCCGTTTCCATTTGCCTTGTCTCTTTCGCTAATTCTTTATTGCGGTTGTTTATTTTACCCGTACCTTCTCTTTCCCTCTCTCATCCTCTCAGAGCGCCATGTCAGCAGCCCTCCTCGCGAGGCTACGTGGCAAGCTGTCATTGGTCGCCGATAAGCTCCTTGAGCTTGACCAAGAGGCGCCACGCCCTTCGCCTCACAACCACCACAATGGCCACCGCACCCAAGAAGGAAGCACGGTTACTGGTGGTAACCCGACTGCCTCCAACACCAGCAGTGACACCAGCACCAGTACGACCGCCAGGGGAGGGAGCGGCGGCAGCACGAGCTCTGCCACGAGTAACCACAGTAACATTGGTAACCACATCGACCATGGTAACCACGTTACCACTAACAGCCACCCGGAGAGCCCGAGCCTTAACTCCCAAGTCCATGGCGTGATGGCGGTGACCGTGGCTATGGCCTTAGACGTGGATCGGGAGGTAAAGAAGACACTCGACGACGGGGAGATGTTGCGAGGCCTATTAGGTCTCGCAACGGAAGGCGGAGCGGGAGCAGGCGGAGGAGGAGGAGGAGGAGGAGAAGGGACTGATGTTCAACAATCGAAAGGAGGATCGTTGGAGTTGAACGGGAAGGGAGCGCTTGCGCCGGAGATTCACGCGTGCTTGGGTCGCCTTGAAGCGAGGTTTGGCGGAGGGAGGACGGCGGTTGAGGCGATTGAACAATGGGTGAATTCTCAGGTGGAGAATAAGGTGTCAGGATCGGTGCCAAGTGGTGGGGAACGGCTGGACAAGGTGAGCGCCCCGACAGCTGTTGGTGTGGTTGACGGGGCGAGCGAAGCAGGCGAAGTCGAACGAGCTGTGATTGCGGAAGCTGTATCAGCCACCGGCGAAAACTGGTTACCAGGTAAACTGGCGGCTGGTTCGCTTGAGAAGCAACAGGCGCAATCAAAGGTCGGTCTTGCTCGGGGCCTGGAGCCCTGGGCTGGTACTAACGGGGATGCTCTTAAAGGAGCGCTGCTGCAACTCTTGGAGAAGGAAGAGGCGCGGCTGGAGGGAGGCATCCAACGGCTAGAAATCGATTCCGAGCGTAAGATCTGCGATCTGAGGGAGGAGATGGAGCGAGCGGTGAGCGGCGAGGGGAGGAAGCGGGAAGCTGAGCTGGACCGGATGGTGAATCTGCTTATAACGGAGGCGGCGCACAGGCAACAGCTGGAAGAGGAGATTAAAGCCGTGCAGGAGCAGTGGGCGAAGAAACTCGAGGAGGCACGGGCGCAGCAGCAGGCGCAGCAGCTAGAGGAAATGGCAAGGGTGAGGAGAGAGATGGAGGAGATTAGGGAGCAATGGCGGGCGCAGCAGGAGCAAGCGAACGACGCGCTGAGGGCAGAGAAGGAAGCGGTGAGGAAACAGATGGAGCAGATGCGCGAGGAGTGGCGCGTGCAGCAGGCTCAGGCAAACGAGGCTTTAATTGGTCCTATGGAGGAGATTCGTGAGGAGTGGAGAGCTGCGGGCCTGGGCGGGAGGGTGAAAAGCCTGGAGGAGCGGCTGGACGGGGTGGAGAGCGGTGAGCATGACATGGAGAGCCGGATTTTGCAGAAGGTGTCTGAAATGAGGGTAGAGGCTGGGCTGGAGGTGGATAGGGTTGAGAAGATCGTTAGTGAGAAGGTGGATGGGCTGAAACAGGAGCTGGACGGGAGGATTGAGGGGAGTCAGCAGAAGGTAGAGCAGTTGGAGGAGCTTTGGATGGGTGCGGATGTGCCTGGGATGGTTGCGCGGATTGAAACGGGGGTGAAGTGTAATAAGATTGTGATTGAAGCGGTGGATAGGCGCGTGAGGGAGCAGGCGGAGGGGCAGGAGAGGTTAATGGAGGAGGCGGAGAGGAAAGCGAGGATGGTTGAGGAGAGTGTGGAGGAGAGAGTGAGAAAGGTGGAGGAGAGTGTGGGGGAGAGAGTGGGTAAGGTAGAGGAGAATGTGAAGAAAATAGAGGAGAGTGTGGGAGAGAGAGTGAGGAAGCTTGAGGAGAGTGTGGGAGAGAAGGTGGTGAAATTAGAAGAGGGTATGGAGGAGAGGGCTAAGAGGGTGGAAGAGAGTGTGATGGCGGGAGTGAGGAATCTAGAGGAGGTGGTTAAGGAGGTGGAGAAACTTGAAGAGAAGAGCGTTGAGGAGAGAGTGGGGGAGGTGGCGGGGAGTGTTGAGGAGCGTGTGAAAGAAATTGAAGGGAAATTAGAAGATAGGCTGAAGAAGGTAGAGGAGAGTGTGGAGGAGAGAGTGAGAAAGATTGAGGAGAGTGTGGGGGAAAGCGTGAGGAAGGTGGAGGGTGTGGAGAAGGTGGGGGAAGCAGAGAATGGTATAGAGGAGAGGGTGAAAGGAGCAGAAGCGAGTGTGGAGGAGCGAGTGGGGAGACTGGAGGGGAGTGTGGCGGAGAGTGTGAGGGAGCTGAGGGGGGAGATCAACGCTGTGGGACAGCAGGCTGCGGAGGTGGGGAGAGTGGTGTTGGAAATTAGCAAGGCGGTTGCAGAGCAGGTACGAGTGGGGAGGTTGGGGGGGAGTGCGGAGGGGGCTGTGGAGGAGAGTGTGAGGGAGCTGAAGGGGGAGATAGACGCCGTTGGGAGGCAGGCTGCGGAGGTGGGGAGAGTGGTGTTGGAAATCAGCAAGGCGATCAGCAGCAAGATTAGCAACGAGGTTGCAGCAACAGCAAGCGAGGGGGTGGAGGGGAGTGGACTTCTGGCGGAGGTGGTTCTGATTGGTCGGGAGGTGGCGAGTGTGGGAGCAGCAATAGCTGCGGGTGTTAAGGAGCAAGAGGGGAGGAAGGAGGAGGTTAAGTGTCTAGAGGACGTGGTGCTGATTGGTCGAGAAGTGGCCCGGGTGGCAGCAGAAATTGCCAAGGGTGGAAAAGAACAGATGAGCGGAATCAAATCTGAGGAGGAGATCAGATCTCTGATTGCAGCTGAGCTGGCAGCTGCTGGTGTGGTGCAGCAGCAGCAGCAGCCGGCAGAAGCAGCAGCAGCAGCCTTGGACGAAGCTTCCAAGAAGGTGGAGCACCTGCAGAAGCTCCTGGAAGAGCAGCAGAACAAGGCTGACGCGGCAGCTGCTGACGTGGCATCCACGATCCAACAGCTTTCAGATAAAATCTCCGCGTTGGAGCTGAAGCAGGCGCAGACCACGTCAGCAGCAGCATCAGCCGCGTCAGCAGCGTCAGCCGCTGTTGCAGTGACCCACGCTGCGTTCCCCCGTGCTGCCTCCGTAGGGGCGAGTGTTCTGACCTCCCCTGGAGGCCCTAAGACAATCACAGCAGCGGCAGAGGCGGCGGCTGCGATTGTGGCGGACCGAGGGTGGGTGCAGCAGCAGCTGTCAGAGCAGGAGGAGAAGTTAAGGTGGAGAATGGAGGCTTTGCAACGAATGGCGAGTGTTTCCTTGGAGAAGGCGCATAAGCAGGCTGAAGAGGGCGCTGCGATTCTTGCAGCTGTGAAAGCAGCAGCAGGGGCTAGTGCAGGGGCGGAAAGGGGGGCAGCTGCAGGGGGAGCGGCAATGGCTGGAACAGGGGAAGCGGCAGCTGAAGGGGAAGGGGCAGGGGCAGAGGCAGGAGAAGTGGCAGCGGCAGCAGCAGCAGTGGCGGACAGAGGGTGGGTGCAGCAGCAGCTGGCAGAGCAGGAGGTAAGGTTTGAAAGGCGCGTGCAGGGGATGCAGCGGATAGCAGAGTTTGGCGTCCAGCGGGTGGGACAGCTGGCGGTGCGGGCGGCAGATTTCGACAGTATGCTGAAGCAGGTCCAGGAGGTGATGGCGGCGCTGGCTGCGCGAGTGCGGGGGCTGTTGGAGCAGCAGGTTGGGAGAAACGCGGAAATAGAAGCGCTGGTGGGGTGGAAAGCGCGGATTGAGGGGGTTTTGGAGCAGCAGGCGGGGAGAAACGCGGAGATAGATGCGCTAGTGGCACTGAAAGCGCGGGTGGAAGGGGTTTTGGAGCAGCAGGCGGAGTGGAATGCGCGAATTGATGCAATGATGAAGGAGGTGGGGGCGAAGGTGGGAGGGCTGGTGGATGGGGAGGCTCGCTGTGTTACAGCCGTTGCTGCAGCAGAAGCTGCAGCAGTGGCAGAAGCAGATATGGCAGCAGAGGCAGCAGCAGTGCCAGAAGCAAACGTGGCAGCAGGAGCAGCAGCAGCGGGGGCAGAAGAAGCAGACGCAGCAGCAGCAGCAAAAACAGCAGCAGCAGCAGCAGGAGAAGCAATAGTAGCAGAAGCAGTTGCAGCAGCAGCAACAGGAGCAGAAGCAGAGGCAGCAGCAGCAGCAGCAGGGGCAGAAGCAGAGGCAGCAGAAGCAGCAGTGGCAAAAGCAGAGGCAGCAGCAGGGGAAGAAGCAGAGGCAGCAGCAGCAGGGTCAGAAGCAGAGGCAGCAGCAGCAGGGGCAGAAGCAGAGGCAGCAGCAGCAGCAGCAGCAGGGACAGAAGCAGAGGCAGCAGCAGAAGCCGCAGGGGCAGAAGCAGCAGTGGCAGAAGCAGAGGCAGCAGCACCAGAAAGAGTTTCTTCAACACAGGCGACGGTGAAGGAGGGAGCGGAGAAGTTGGGGGCTTCGGTGGAAGGGGAGGCTCCCTTTGTGTCTTCCATAGCTGCAGCAGAAGCCGCAGGGGCAGATGCAGAGGCAGCAGAGGCAGATTCAACAACAGAAGCAGCAGCAGAAGCAGCATCAGAAGCACCACCAGCACCAGCAGTGACAGCAGAACCAGCACCAATGGCAGCAGAGTCTGCAGCACCAGCATCACCTGCCTTGACAGCAGAGGCAGAAGTTGAATTATCAGCACCAGCAGCAGAGGTAGCAGAGGTTGCAGAGGCTGCAGTTGAAGTATCAGCACCAGCCGCAGGGGGAGCAGTTGTATCACCTGCGCCAGCAGCAGCGGCGGAAGTTGAATCACCTGCAGCAGCAGAAGCAGCAGTTGAATCACCTGCACCAGCAGCAGAGGCAGCAGTTAATTCATCTGTTGCAGAGGCAGCAGTTGAAGTATCAGCACCAGCAGCAGGGGGAGCAGTTGAATCACCTGCACCAACAGCAGCGGCAGAAGTTGAATCATCTGCACCAGCAGCAGAGGCACCAGTTGAACCATCTGTTGCAGAGGCACCAGTTGAACCATCTGTTGCAGAGGCACCAGTTGAACCATCTGTTGCAGAGGCACCAGTTGAACCATCTGTTGCAGAGGCACCAGTTGAACCATCTGTTGCAGAGGCACCAGTTGAACCATCTGTTGCAGAGGCACCAGTTGAACCATCTGTTGCAGAGGCACCAGTTGAACCATCTGTAGCAGAGGCACCAGTTGAACCATCTGTTGCAGAGGCACCAGTTGAACCATCTGTTGCAGAGGCACCAGTTGAACCATCTGTTGCAGAGGCACCAGTTGAACCATCTGTTGCAGAGGCACCAGTTGAACCATCTGTTGCAGAGGCACCAGTTGAACCATCTGTTGCAGAGGCACCAGTTGAACCATCTGTTGCAGAGGCACCAGTTGAACCATCTGTTGCAGAGGCACCAGTTGAACCATCTGTTGCAGAGGCACCAGTTGAACCATCTGTTGCAGAGGCACCAGTTGAACCATCTGTTGCAGAGGCACCAGTTGAATCATCTGTTGCAGAGGCACCAGTTGAACCATCTGTAGCAGAGGCACCAGTTGAACCATCTGTTGCAGAGGCACCAGTTGAACCATCTGTTGCAGAGGCACCAGTTGAACCATCTGTTGCAGAGGCACCAGTTGAACCATCTGTTGCAAAGGCACCAGTTGAACCATCTGTTGCAGAGGCACCAGTTGAACCATCTGTTGCAGAGGCACCAGTTGAACCATCTGTTGCAGAGGCACCAGTTGAACCGTCTGCACTAACAGCAGAGGCAGCAGCAACAACATCACCACCAGTGTTTGTAGAACCAGCAGCAACACCACCATCAGTGTCTGTAGATGCAGCAGCAACAACACCAGCAGAAGTGTTCGTAGCAGCACCACCACCGCCACCATCACCCAAACCGGCAGCAACATCTGTAGCAGCAGCAGCTGCATCGGCGTCTGTAACTCCTGTCCCTTCTGTGACTTTTGCTGCAAGCCAGATGGATCTCCTGTGCCCTACACCCGGGGATGTAAGGGATTATGAGTTACATTTAGAGTCGCCATCAGCAGCAGCAGTGGCAGCGGTAGCAACCCAGATGGATCTCCTGTGCCCTACGCCCCGGGATGTGGCGAAATTTGAATTGCCTCAAAAACCGCCATCAGCATCAGCAGCAGCAGCCGCAGCAGCAGGGGAAGCAGCAGCAGAAGCAGTAGGGGAAGCAGCAGCAGAAGCAGTAGGGGAAGCAGCTGCACCTGTATCCCCTCAAGGTTCTACCCAGGAGCAGAAGAGTTCAGATTCGATTCAAGAGTCACCATCAGCAGCAGCAGCAGCGGAAGCAGCAGAGGAAGCAGCAGCAGCAGCGGAAGCAGCAGAGGAAGCAGCAGCAGCAGATGCAGGAGCAGCATCAGCAGATGCAGGAGCAGCATCAGCAGATGCAGGAGCAGCATCAGCAGATGCAGGAGCAGCATCAGCAGATGCAGGAGCAGCATCAGCAGATGCAGGAGCAGCATCAGCAGATGCAGGAGCAGCATCAGCAGATGCAGGAGCAGCATCAGCAGATGCAGGAGCAGCATCAGCAGATGCAGGAGCAGCATCAGCAGATCATCAGCAGATGCAGGAGCAGCATCAGCAGATGCAGGAGCAGCATCAGCAGATGCAGGAGCAGCATCAGCAGCAGCGCCTGTATGTCCTCTAGCGCCTACCCAGGATCTGGAGACTCTAGAATCAACTGACGAGTCGCCATTAACAGTAGAAGCAGCAGCAGAAGCTGGGGAAGCAGCAGCGCCTGCATCCCCTCGAGGGTCTACCCAGGATAAGGAGACTCTAGAGTCAACTCAAGAGTCGCCATTAACAGCAGAAGCAGCAGGGAAAGCAGCTGCGCCTGCATCCTCTCAAGGTTCTACCCTGGAGCAGAAGAGTTCAGTTTCGATTCAAGAGTTGGCACCAGCAGCAGCATCAGCAGGAGTCGCAGCAGGAGCAGAAGGAGCAACAGCGGCAGCAGAAGCAGAAGCAGCAGGAGCAACAGCAGAAGCAGAAGCAGAAGCAGAAGAAGCAGGAGCAACAGCAGCACCAGGAACAGAAGCAGCAGGAACAACAGCAGCAACAGCAGCAGAAGCAGCAGGAGCAGCAGCAGAAGCAACAGGAGCAGCAGCAGAAGCAACAGGAGCAGCAGCGCCTGCATTCCCTGGAGTGTCTACCCAGGAACAGAAAGTTCCAGATTCGACTCAAGAGTCCCCGTCAGCAGCAGCAGCAACAGCTTTAGCAGAGTTGCTACCACCAGCACCACCAGTGCCTGCAGAAACAGTAGCAGCACAACCAACATCATCATCAGCTGCTATTTCTACAGCAGCAACAGCAGCAGCAGCAGCAGTCGCAGCCCCGTCTGCAACCCCCCCATCTGGTGATTTTGCCCCGTCTGCAGCCCCATCTGGTGATGTTGCCCCGTCTGCAGCCCCATCTGGTGATGTTGCCCCGTCTGCAGCCCCGTCTGCAGCCCAATCATCACCATCATCACCACCACCATCACCATGTGCAGCACCAACGTCACCATCCGCCGCCGTAGCAGCAGCGACTTCCCTAGCTGCATCCATTGCAAGCCAGGTGGAGTTGCTATGCTCAGACTCCCAGGAGCAAGAGTCTTCCAAGTCAACTCAAGCGCCTTCTGAGTCAACTCAAGAGCCCTCTGGGTCAACTCAACAGCCTTCTGAGTCAACTCAAGTTCCTTCTAACTTGCCTCAAGAGCTGCCGCTGCAGAGTACTTTTGAAACGCCCCAGGACTTGTCAGCTCAGGTGGAGGAGCTGCCACGCAGCAAGTCCCAGGAGCAGCAAGCGCCTTGCGAGTCGACTCAGCAGGAGTATGTCGAGTCAATTCAGCAAGAGCTGCAGCCGCAGAGCACTCCTGAAACACCCCAGGACTTGACAGCGCAAGTGGAGGAGCTGCTACGTTCCCAGGCCCAGGAGCAGCAAGCGCAGCAAGAGCTGCAGCCGCAGAGCACTCCTGAAACACCCCAGGACTTGACAGCGCAAGTGGAGGAGCTGCTACGTGCCCAGGCCCAGGAGCAGCAAGCGCAGCAAGAGCTGCAGCCGCAGAGCACTCCTGAAACACCCCAGGACTTGACAGCGCAAGTGGAGGAGCTGCTACGTTCCCAGGCCCAGGAGCAGCAAGCGCAGCAAGAGCTGCAGCCGCAGAGCACTCCTGAAACACCCCAGGACTTGACAGCGCAAGTGGAGGAGCTGCTACGTGCCCAGGCCCAGGAGCAGCAAGCGCAGCAAGAGCTGCAGCCGCAGAGCACTCCTGAAACACCCCAGGACTTGACAGCGCAAGTGGAGGAGCTGCTACGTTCCCAGGCCCAGGAGCAGCAAGCGCAGCAAGAGCTGCAGCCGCAGAGCACTCCTGAAACACCCCAGGACTTGACAGCGCAAGTGGAGGAGCTGCTACGTGCCCAGGCCCAGGAGCAGCAAGCGCAGCAAGAGCTGCAGCCGCAGAGCACTCCTGAAACACCCCAGGACTTGACAGCGCAAGTGGAGGAGCTGCTACGTTCCCAGGCCCAGGAGCAGCAAGCACAGCAAGAGCTGCAGCCGCAGAGCACTCCTGAAACACCCCAGGACTTGACAGCGCAAGTGGAGGAGCTGCTACGTTCCCAGGCCCAGGAGCAGCAAGTGCAGCAAGAGCTGCAGCCGCAGAGCACTCCTGAAACACCCCAGGACTTGACAGCGCAAGTGGAGGAGCTGCTACGTGCCCAGGCCCAGGAGCAGCAGGCGCCTTCCCAGTCAACTGATCAAGAGGTGCAGCAGCAGCTGCAGTTCACTCTTGAAACGCCACAGGACTTGTCAGCGCAAGTGGAGCTGCTGCGTGCCCAGGCCCAGGAGCAGCAGGCACAGCTGCTGCAGCTGCAGCTGTCCCTCGAGGAGAACGCCAAGCAGCTGGCTCTGCTTGAGAGGGCATGCCGAGAGAAAGAGAAAGAAAAGGCCGGTGCTGCTGCTGTGACTGTTGAGGTGGGTTCAGAGGAGCAGGCGAAGCAGGAGGGTTTGGTGGAAAGGGAGTGTCTGGAAAAGGCCGGTGCTGCTGCTGTGACTCTTGGAGAGACTCCAGAGGAACAAGCGCGGCAAGTGGCTGTGTTGGAAAAAGCGTGCAAGGTGATGGCCGACGCTGCTGCTGTTTTTGAGTCTACGGAGGTGTCAGCTAGGGGTTGTGAAGAGGGGGCGTGTCAGGAGAAAGCCAGTGCTGCTGTGACTGTTGAGTCGACTCCAGAGGAGCACGCGAGGCAAGTGGCTGTGTTGGAAAAGGCATGTCAAGTAATGACAGATGCTGCTGCGGTTCTTGAGTCTATGGAGGTGCCAGCTAGGGGTTGTGCGGAGAGTAGGGAGCGCAAGGAGAGAGCAGGCTCTCTTGAGTCGACAAGAGTGGGTGCTCTTGAGTCGACAAGAGTGGGTGCTCTTGAGTCGACACCGCAGGTGTCTGCTAGTGCTTGTGGAGAGGAGGCGGACATTGCTGCTGCTGTTGTTTCAGAGTCAACACAGGTGTCAGTTTGTGCATGTGAAGAGAGCAGGGAGTGTATGGGGAGAGTGGATGCTCTGGAGTTGACTCAGCAGCAGCATGCCCAGCAGCTAGCTCTGCTGGAAAGGGTGTGCAGGGAGAAAGCAGAGGCTGCTGCGGCTGTTGAGCTGGCTCAGGAGCAGCACACGAGGCAGCTTGCTGTGCTTGAAAGAATCTGTCGGGAGAAGGCAAACGCTGCTGCAACTCTTGAGCTGACGCAGAGGCAGCATGCGAGGCAGTTGGCTGATTTGGAAAGGATGTGCAGAGAGAGGACGGAGAGTGAAGGTGAGAGGGAGAGGCAGCAGCAGCAGCAGGAGCAGCACGCCAGGCAGTTGGCTGTACTGGAGAGAATGTGCAGGGAGAAAGCAAATGCTGCTGCAACTCTTGAGCTAACGCAGAGGCAGCACGCGAGGCAATTGGCCGATCTGGAAAGGGTGTGCAGGGAGAGGATGGAGAGCGAAGGTGAGAGGGAGAGGCAGCAGCAGCAAGAGAGTGCCTCGGTGATGCCTCAGCAGGAAGGGCGGCAGCAGCAGCAGCAGCCGGAGGAGGAGCGTGCATTGGCAGTGCAGGAACTGAGAAAGAAGTGGGAGGGCATGAAAGGTGCTGGTGGGAGTGCAGCCGGGGCCGCAACAACGGGAGGAGCAGGCACAGGCACAAGAATCGGCACAGCCACAGGAAGTGTGAGTGGAAAAATGGCAGGGGTAGGAGGAGCAGCAGCAGGAGCAGGAGCAGGAGCAGGAGCAGCAGGAGCAGGAACAGTTTCAGGAGCAGGAGAAGGAGAAGGAGATGGAGAAGCAGGTGGGAAGGCAGGAGAAGAGAAGCAGACTGAGGGTTCCAAATTGACTCATGATGACGAGGCAACCTCTAAGGATGGAGAAGCGTCAACCACTGTAGCAGTTCCAAACACAGCATCAACCACTGTAGCAGTTCCAAACACAGCATCAACCACTGTAGCAGTTCCAAACACAGCATCAACCACTGTAGCAGTTCCAAACACAGCATCAACCACTGTAGCAGTTCCAAACACAGCATCAACCACTGTAGCAGTTCCAAACACAGCATCAACCACTGTAGCAGTTCCAAACACAGCATCAACCACTGTAGCAGTTCCAAACACAGCATCAACCACTGTAGCAGTTCCAAACACAGCATCAACCACTGTAGCAGTTCCAAACACAGCATCAACCACTGTAGCAGTTCCAAACACAGCATCAACCACAGCCCCGAGCAGCACCAGCAGCAGCACTGGCAGCACACGCACCACCACCACCAGCAGCAGTGGCACCAGCAGCAGCACAAGCAGCAGCATCACCCTCCCTCACACCACCATCAGACACACTGTAGACTTCACCCGCCTCCCCAACACAACAGACAAAGACTTTGAGCAATTCCTCCTCCTAGCCCAGCTCCTCCCCCCTGCCATCCTCTCCTCCATCTCCTCCCTCCGCTTCGGCTCCTCAGACTCCTCCTGCAAGTCCTTCACAGGTTCCTCCCTCCGCCACGCCACAGCTCTCCCCGGCTTGTCCGGCCTCCACCTTCGGGGATGCACTGGGGTTACCACTGAAGGGGTGTTACAGATCGGCCGGTTGACTTCCGTTGACTCGCTTGACCTGAGCTATACTCCTGTAGGGGATGCGGGGCTGAGGTGCCTCGAGCCGCTGGTGATGCTGAGGGAGTTGGATCTCAGCGAGTGTAACCTGGTAACCGACGTGAGTGTACAGTGGATCGTGAAGCTGAAACGGCTAAGGAAATTAGACCTGGGGGTGTGTCTGGGGATCGGAGAGAGAGGGATGGAGAGGGTGTGTCGCGAGATGAGCTGGCTAGAGGAGCTAGGGCTTTCGGGGACGGCTTTGAATGATAGAGGCATGGAGAGGATTGGACAGATGGGGGGGTTGAAGAGCCTGGATGTGTCACATACGAGAGTGACTGATGAAGGAATTGCGTGCCTGGTTGTGTCTGAGGCTCTGACTGTTGGTAAGGAGAGGGCGCGGGTGGTGCTGGCTAGAGCAGCAGCGGAGGCTGAAGCAGAGGCGGCAGCAGCGGCGTCTGCTTCTGCTCTGGGAGCAGTTGCTGGAAGGGCAGAAGCAGCAGGTGCAGGAGCAGCAGCTTCTTCAGCAGAGAGTAAGGGTACTGCTCCTGCTGCTGCTGCTAGCCCAGCTGTAGCAAAAGCATCAGTCACAACAGCAGCAGCAGGTGCAGCAGTGGTGGTTGCAGCAGCAGCAGCGCCGGCAGGGCGAATCCCTAGGACGAGGTCTCCAGGCTCTATTGCTCGTGATGCGCTGGCACGTTTTGTTGGGGAAGACAGTGATGACGATGATGCTGCAGCTGCTGGTGGTGGTACTGCAGCTGTTGCTGCTTCGGGCGTTATTGCACCTGCTGCCGCTGCCGGGACTGGTGCCAGTGCTGTTTCTTCAGTGGTTATTCCAGCTGACGCAGGTGCAGGTGCAGCTGCAGCTGCCGATGTTGCTGCAGCGTCTGATCCCAGTTCCAGTACCACTGGCGCTGATGGTAACAAAGCCTCTGGCTCCGAGGAAGCTTCTGCTAGCTCTGAGGAAGCCGCTGCTGTATCAACGGAAGCTTCTGCTGGCTCTGAGGAACCTTCTTCTGGTGACGGGTCAGCTGCTGCAGCGGCCACTGAAACTGCGGGCTCAGAACCCCCTGAGACTGACAAGCTGGCTTCGTATTCTGAGCCTGCTACCGCCGCTGCAGCAGCTGATTTGGGTACTGAAGCTGTTGCTGCTGCTACTGAACCTACTGCTGCAGTGCCTGCTGCTGGTACTGACCAGCAGCAGACTGTTGAAGAGAGGCAGAGTACAGTAGAGGAACAGAGTGTCTCAGAGAAACCAAGTGCTGCAGAGAAGCAGGGCGTGGAGCAGCAAGGCGCATCAACACACACCAGTGCCCCCCCTGCACCCCTCACTCCTCCCAACCCATCGTTGTCATCACCTTCCGCAAAACCTTCTGCAGAAGCTTCTGCGGAGCCTTCCTCTCCATTCATCCCACGCCCCCCTCCCCCTGCCCCTGCCTCCCGCTCGCTCCTCCGCCTGCACCTAGTGGGTTGCTCCCGACTCACCGACACCGCTCTGCACCACATTGCACACCTCTCCCGCCTCCAAGCCCTCGACCTGAGCTTCACTCGAATCACAGGGGAGGGTCTGGTGTCTCTTAAAGCCCTGTCTTCTTCTCTTAACGAGTTGGTTCTTAGTGGGTGTGAGCAGCTGGGGGTGGAAGACAAGGGGAAGGGGAGGAAGGGAGGGAAGGAGGGAGGGAAGGAGGGAGGGGAGGAGGGAGGGGAGGAAGCGGGTAAGGGCACGATAATGGAGCAGCTAGGGGCGTTTGCACAGGGAAGCTCGTGGTTTGGTTTCCTGCAGATGGAGCAGCCACATCTGGGTAGCACCAGTAGCACCGGTAGCAACAAAGGCAGCAGCACCAGCAACACCAGCACCAGCAACACCAGCACCAGCAGCGGTAAACGCAGCAGCACCACCACCACCACTACCAGCAGCAGGACGGTTGAACAGCCTGGGTCTGTGGCCACAAGGGGCGGCGTTCTCCGTCATCTAGTCCCTCTCACATCACTGCGCAAGCTCGACCTGTCCAACTGTGTGCGGGTGGGAGAGGAGGGAATACTGTGTGTGTGTGAAGGCATGCCATGGCTCGAAGACCTCTGTTTGGATGGGTGTAAGCTGTCAGATGCAGGCTTGGAGGCTATAGGGAGGATGAGTCGACTGCGAGTGCTGGATATCTCCGGTTCTGCTGTCACTGACGCTGCTCTAGTGCATCTTTCTCAGCTAAGCGCCGGCAGTGCTGATTCCCTTTCGTCTGTTGCTTCCACCAGTGCTAGCAACACTGGTGACAGCAGCACCGACAGTACCGCCAGCAGCACTAGCATCATCAGCAGCACTCCCCTTCCCCCGGGCCTGCAGGAGCTTCGGATGTGGCGGTGCCCGAACCTAACCTCCTCAGGCATGGAACACATCGGGCAGATTCGAACCCTTCGTCGCCTCGATCTCTCCCAGTGCCCCGTGGGGAACCTAGGCTTGGCCCACCTCCGTCCCCTCGCCTCCTCCCTCACTTCCCTCAATCTCTCCTGGTCGGGTGTGTCTGACGAGGGGTTGTGCCAGCTGGCGGGGTACGATTGGCTGGAGGAGCTGCACCTGAGCGGCCCGAACGTGACCCCGCTCGGGCTGAGGCAGGTTCGGGGGCTTCCGAGGCTGAGGAAGGTTCGGCTGTGGTCTGTGACTAGTGAGGTGCTGGCTGCTGCTAGGGATGTGCTCTTGGGGGTGGTGGTGTATTGAAGGGGATTGTACTGAGGAGGTGGGTGTATCGATGTGGGATAGAATTAAGGGTGGGTGAACTGAGGGGGGATTGAGGGATAATTTATTGAGAGATAGTATATTGGAAAACATTTGATTGAGGAGTGGTTGACTGAGGTGAGTTGTGGCGTGGTGTTGTGTAGAATGGTGTGGTATGGTTGTGCTGTGGCAGGAGGTGAAGCAGCAGCAGCAGCAGCGGCTTCAATCGTAGTGGCTGGAAAGAAGTCAATCCGGTGCTCTGTGCTGCTGGATTTTCTGCTTGACTGTCGTTTTGGCTTATTCTAACTTGGGGGCGTGTCATTGGCTTCCCCCCACCATCCCTTGCTTCCTCCTCTCCCCACATTCCCCTTGCACTTCCTACATTACACACTCCCTTGCCATCCGGTTACTGTTTATGTCCTTCCTCCTTTCTCCGTCCATACCTCCCTCTTGGCCCCTGTGGATTCTTTCTTCTTTTCGTTTGCCTCACTGCTACTGTGATGGGTACTCAAAGCTGTAGTTTGCTTGCCCTAATAGAGTTATTTTTACTCCATAAGCTTACTTGTGTGAATGTAATCATTTCTTTCTGCTCTCAAGTGGTGAGAGGTTGAAGGAAAGAGAGTCAACCAGGTGAAAATGTATTGGACAGAAAGCTGTGTTGGAATATACTATGGTATCATTTTGAATAAATTGGCAAGTTATTTGTTGCACTTCAGGGTCTCGTTTACATTCCCCCGAATTTTCCTAAACAGGACTACACTACGAACATGTGAGTCAATTGAGACCGCTGCCTGGGGTCAACCTCATTCGCCGAGATTCAGACAAGGAAGCGGCCACGGCAACGGACGATCAAGATTATATGAGGTGAAAGTTCAGATTCTTTCCGCCGCTGATTCGTGGTCCGTAAAGGAGCGGCCCCTAGGAAGCTCCACCCGACCAAACACCCAGCTCTCGGGTTCTACAGGTCAGCTTCGCGGATTGCTACAAGTCAGCAGATTCTACTCCAGCCTAGCATGAAGAGTGGAGCAGCGCAAGGCATGGAGCAGAATAAGCAGCCAATTGCAGCAGGGGGAGAAGCGGCAGACCTTCGGGGCGCGCAACACACCGAACCTACCTGTTTCATTTCGATGAAGCCAACGAAGGTCGTGTTCAGCGTTCGTCAGAAGAGTTCACTTTAATGCGGTGGTGTCAGATGTGATGGTTTTGAGAATGGTGCATCACTTCTAAAGGTAGCGCTCATTCAGGGTTCCTAGCAGATAGCAAAAGCTTGCGAAACACCCTCAAACCTCCTCCACCACTTCACACGTCCTGTGACTTGGATGCGTAAACATCACTCCTCTCCCCGCGTCTGTCCCCGCTCCACCCTTTCCCTTTCCCTTTCCCCCTTCCCCCACTTTCCTGCCCGTCCCCTTCTTCCGTACCTCCGCTTCCCCATACCTTTCACCCGCCTTTCCCGCAAGGTCTTCCCTCCACCACCACCCCCCGACGCGTTTCTCCCGCGTCCCCTGCCCAGACATCATCCTGGGCAAATCCTCAAGACGAGCGCCACCTCCCCCGTCAGCGGTACCCTTCGTTCCGCTTCCCCCGGCCCAACTACACGCCTTAGCAAAGGTGTATCTTATCTTGTTGGTTCCAAACCAACGCAATTCTACATAACCGTCTTCCCTCACTCACGATCTCGATACTCTCGCATCTCTCTAACTAAAGTTCTGAAGACAGTAACCAAGTCGTGAGACGCTCCTGAATGACGGCTGCTGTGCGGATGCGACGATAGCGGCCGATTTGGATTAACCGCCGGAAACCGCAGTCCACACCGCTCTTTACAGAAAATGTGTATTTATTAGTTGTTTTAGGTCAAAGCATTCAGTGCTTTTCTTGGTTAGTGGTTCGTAGCGTGAAACCTGCATCAGGAAACTGACAAATGTTCGTAGCGTAATTAAACGTTATATTGCCTTTTAGTGCAAAGTCTTTTGAGACATCTCAAAAGCGAAGCTCTAAGAAATGGAAGCTCTGCTAAACGACATGCACGGCACACACATCAATTCCCATCCTCCACGACATTCGCTAGACGACGCTCTCAAACGAGCCTGCCGCCTCGCCGCTGAAACTTCTTCGCCGTCTCCCAATTCCGTCAACGTTAACGTTAACGTTTGCGCCAACGGCGGCGCTAACGGAAGGAGAATTTCGCAGGGCTCTGGAACGACCAATCCTGGAGGCAAGTTGAACGGACGAGTTTATCCTGGTTTGGACTGTAACGAGGGTATTTATAACGAGATCCATCCTGCAGATCTTGTGAAGCCTGAAGGTTGCGGGAACGACTTAGTAGGTCCTATACCCCGGTCTAAGGCAAGTAAAGACCGTGTACTAGGCGACAGTATGATTATAGGCGCTCCGGGTGCCGCTCCTTATCGCGGACAAGCAGCCGACTCCGTTTCTGGGCTTCCTGGCGTGAAACGCGGCGAACCGTCGGATCTAAGCAGCGGGACCAACGGCGGTATTTATGGAGGAATGGAGACCCGTGGGGCCGGGATTGCTGCCGGATTTGGCGGCGGAGAAGGCGGCGGAGGATGTGGCGGAGGAAGCGGCGGTGGAGGGAGAGAGGGCGAGGAGGAGGAGCAGAGTTCGATCACGCGAGAGTTTGCGAAAATCGCGGCGAGAAAACGAGCGGAGCGGTTGAGGAACAAGCGGGGCGACTTGATATGCGGAAGGAGTGGAAGTGAGTCGGAAGCCTTAGAACGAGCCTTGGAGACTGCCGAAGCTGCAGCCGTGTCTAACGGGGTGGCTGCTAACGGGGCGGTTACTAACGGGGACGAGCTAGTAGCGGGGAGAAGAGTTGGGGTGAAGGCCAGTTCTTGCCGCGTGAGAGTTATTCCTCCGTTATCCGCGGCAAGCGGACTCGATTCAGTTTACCGTCGCGAGCCGAACGTCGGTCAAGACAGGCTCGCTGCGGCAGCCTCGGAGTGCGGAAGAGGTTCGGGAACAGGTCCGGGATCAGGTCCGGAAGCGCTGATCTCGGTTCGGCGATGCCAATCGGAATCCGAATCCGAATCGGAAGGGTACACGGCGGTGTTCTCTCGCCTCAAGGCGCAGAAGCTGCGGGAGCGAACCGAACACGACTTATTGCATAACGACCACGGTGTGGCAGTAGCAGGATCAACATCAACAGCAACAGCAGCAGCACCAACAGCACCAGCAGCAGCAGGAGCAGCGCCGATTGCGGCGCCAATAGCTACGCCGATAGCTGCGCCGTTTGTGGCTCCGATTGTGGCGCCGATTGTGGCGCCGATTGTGGTGCAGATTCCGGAGTTCATCCCGTATCAAGCGGGGGACGAGGCGGCTGTGGAGCTAACCTTTGCTTGCGGGCTGGGCGCAGGGGGGCAGGCGCGCGCGGGGGGGGAATTAGGCGCGCGGGGGCAGGCGCGTGCGGGGGGAGAGGTGGGTGGAGGCGGGTTGCCCCGGAGCCCTGTGCGCAAGTTTCGTGACGGCGCGGGGGAGAGGGGAGCGGCGGCGCTGCAGGCGCAAGGGAAGGCGGGAGAAGAGGCGCAAGGGGCGCGCGGGGCGCAGGCAGCGGGGGGAGCGCGGGGAGAGGGTGGGGCGCGGGGAGCGGAGGGGCGGTCGGAGGGGCGGGCGGAGGGGCTCGCAAGCCTAACGTTTCAGCAGTGGGACAGAATCAAGGAGCGGGTTATGGCGGGAGGGGAGGAGGCGGGGGAGGGGGAAGATTCGGGGGAAGCGGGGGAGGCGGGGGAATGTGAGGCAGGGGGGATGGGGGAGGTTTGGAATGAGGAGGAGGAGGATCGGGTGGCGGATGCCGAAGCTGCAGCCGCGGACCAAGCCGCGGAAATCGCTGCCAGGGCTGAGCGACAGGCTCGGATACAGCGGCTTCTGCTGGAGGTGAATCTTCCGCGCCTGGCGCAGTGGGGGGGGATGGGGGGAGCGGAACTCAGCAGTGGCGTGGGGAAGGCGCTTGCTAGCAGCGCCCCTGGGGGGTTTTTCATGGGGGAAAGGGGGACGGGGGGAGGCGGCGGGGGGAATGGGGGGGGGTATAGCTCTGGAAGCGGGTCGTCTGGTGTGAGTAGCAGTAGCAGCATAGAGGGGAGCGGGGACAGTGGGGGGAGGGCAGGCAGTGGGGGAGGCAGTGGGGGGAGCAGTGGGGGAGGCGGGGCAAAGAAGGAGAGCTCATCGGTGCCTGTCACGCCAGCAGGAGGGCGAATGGATGGGGGATACGTGGGAGGAGGGATGATGGTGCATGGGGGAGGGGGATATGGTACAGGGGGATATGGGGGAGGTGGGGCAATGGGGGAGAGCTCATCTTTGCCTGTCACTCCTGCAGCAGGAGGGCGAATGGATGGGGTTTACCCAGGAGGAGGCATGATGGTGCATGGGGGAGGGGGGTATGGGGGAGAGGCGTATGGGGGAGGGGGGTATGGTGCGGGGGGGTTTGGGGGAGGTGCATATGGTGGGGGGCAGACAGTTAATGCACGGGCACAGGCACGGGCACAGGCACAGGCGCATGGGCAGGGCAAGAAGGGGTTTTTCTCGCTGCTCAAGGTGGGGCGAGGGGGGAAGAAGCTGGCAAAGTCGGAATCAGCAGACGGCCGCCTGTGATGAGCTCAAGTGTTGACATGTGGTAGTACGTTCTTGTCTGTATTAAGGACTGAGGCGCTTTTTGAGGCGCCTAATAAGTGGGGCGAGGGGGGAAGAAGCTGGCGAAATCAGAATCAGCAGACGGCCGCCTGTGATGAGCTCAAGTGTTGACATACGGTGGTACGTTCTTGTCTGTATTAAGGACAGCGTTTTGGGGTCAGTGAGGGAGTTGTTTCTTGTGTGCTTTAGTGTTACCGCAACCACAATTTGGAGACCACTAAGAGCGTGTTTCTACACCTCGTATCAGACGCACCTCCTATCAGCTTCGCATGGTGAAATACGTTTCAGTGTGTTTGACTACGGTTGTGTGTGTTTTAGTGCGGTTCGACGCGAGTCTGATACGAGACTGCCTAATACCGTATGAGGCCGTAGGATCACGCTCTAATCTGTATGCTGGTATACATGGATGTATGCACCATGTGCTTTTCTGTACATCTGTGGCACACAAAACGCCAGCAGTTCCATTACAAGAATCATACTTTCATCCCAAAGCCTCTCGTCCCAGAACTGTGTATCCAACATTGTGTTGTGAGTCATGTAATATTGTATGATCATCATACGGTACAATATTACTCTCCCCCACTCCCGCCCTCCCCCCGCCTATAGCCCTTAGTTCTGTCACAGCCACTCGAATCTCTTTTTCCTACGCCTGTAGGCCTAAGCTATGCCACAGCCTCTAAAGCTTGTCTCAACGCCACTACATCCGAACTGGGATTCCAGTCGAGTCAAGAATGTTCCTTCAGAAACCACTTTGACTCTCCCCTCCCTGTGTCTGTAGCCCTTATTTCTGCCACTGCCTCTAGAGCTCGTCTCAACGCCGCTACATCTGACACTGAACCTGCCCCGAACCTCGCTGCACACTGCCGGACGATTTCCGAAGCTGTCAAACCGGCCTCTCCCAAAGTTGTACTGGATGCCGCCGAGCCTAACAATGCCGAGCCTGTGGCTAGGCCTGGTGCCGAACCTGGTTCCTGGAACAATAACACAAGCTTCTGCTGTAGACTCAGACTGGAAGCAGCACCCTGCATTACTCCTGCTGCCGAACCTGCTTCCGGGCCTGAATCTGAACCTCTTCCTGCCAAACCTATACCAAGACCATTTGACCGAGCCCCTAGCCCAATGCCTCTCCCAACTATCATCATAATACCACTCCCATCACCACCACCACCACTACCACCACCAGCAGCAATGCTGCCACTACTACCATCCCCTCCTCCTCCTCTTGCTATAGATTGCACCATACCTTGCCTCTGCCGCAGCCTTTGCACCAGCTCACTAGAGGACAAAACAGTGCCGCCCGTGATCCCTGCGCTCACCCCTCCCCCATCCCCTCGTCCACTCCCGAACCTGCTGCTAGCGTTGGTGCTCGCCGAACCAAACCTCCTCCGCCCCCCCCTGGCTGGAACACCAGCCTGGCCAGACCTGCCGGTCCAGGTAGGTTCGGAAACGTCACTGGAGGCTCGGTCGCGCTGTGATTGGCGGAGAGCTGCTTCTGCTCGTGCTGCCACCGCCGCTGCTTCACAATCCATCCGAATCCGGTCGGCTGACGCCAGCCGTTCGATCGTATCCTGATCCAACGCAGCCTGCACACCGTTGGATTCAAAGAGAGATCTGAGAATCTTAGCCTCATCTCGTTCCCCGTTACTCGTACTACCATTCTGCCTTGAATTCCTGCTCCCTGTATTCCCCGTATTCCTCCTGCTCCCTGTACTCCCCAGCATGCCTTGATGGTTGCCACTGCCTAGCTGGGTCCCATTACCTTCCCTCACTTCCTCCACACCCTCTTCCTCCTTCACACTCACTGACCCTTCAACTCCTCCCCCACCTCCTCCTCTCATTGCTTCCTGCGTCCCTCCCCCTCCCCCTCCCGCCATCACCATTTTCACACCGGGTAGACCCGCCAGCACATCCGCATTGTCCAATCGCAAGCTGACATCTGTCCCCATCCCACCCCCCCTCCCACTCCCTCCCCCACCGTCCCTCTCCCTTCCCCTCCCCTTCCGCTTTCCCCTACCCTCCTCTGCCTCCTGACCTCCTCCCTCCTCCCCCTCCTCCTCTTCTTCTAAAGTAAACAAGTCTGTTAAATCCTTGGACTTGAAAAGCCGCTTCTGCTTTGGATCCCTAAGCACGCGGTTGGAAAGCAGCTGCTTCGACAGCTGGCGGTGAAAAACCTTCTCCTCTATAGTCCCCCTCGTTACAAGCCTGTAGATGATCACTTCCCTCTTCTGCCCTATGCGCCATGCCCTCTCCCGAGCCTGCAAGGAGAAATGAGAAGATAATGAATAAATAATAATTATATATATAAAGGATCGTGCACCTGTTCTAAAATTCCCCAAAAAATTGCTTACAACACATGAGGAGGACAAGAGAAGTGCGACGATACTGCACCGCACAACACCGCAACCAAGAGCAGCTCACCTGCAAGTCCGTCGAGGGGTTCCAGTCAGGATCAAATATCACGACCCGATTGGCCCCCGTGAGATTTGTTCCCAATCCGCCCACCCTAGTGGTCAGCAAGAAGACAAACACGCCGCCCTCCCCGCTGTTGAACTCGTCGATCAGCGCCGCCCGCAGCCCGGGCGGCGTGCTGCCGTCCATTCGTCTGTATCCAAAGTTACAGTTGAGCACGAGGGATTCGACTATATCCAGCATCTGCTGCGTCTGACAGAAAACCAGCGCCCTGTGCCCTTCAGCTTTCCACACATGGAGTATCTGTGGTGTTAAGAGGGAGACAGCAGGACGAAGAGTAAGGGGAAGACAGGGGTAAGAACGGAACGGAAGAAGATAAGCTGTGGTTGAGCACGAGGGATTCGACTATAAGGTGACTTTTGAGTTGACTCAAAAGTCACCTCGACTACATCCAATCCAGCATCTGCTGCGTCTGGCAGAAAACTGAAGATCTGTGGCCCTCAGTTTTCCACACCTAAATTGGTCAACTCAACCTAAAAGTAGCATCACTTACCTTATCCAGCACTTGCAGCTTGGAGCTTCGGTCGGGGTTCCCAAAATCAGGGTCACCCTTTCTCGAGTTCCCACCTCTGCTTCCCTCCCCTCCCTCCTCCTCCACCACTGCCGCCCGCCACTTGGCCCACTGGCCCCCCTCTCTAGGATCCACCACCACATCCCTCACTCCCTTCCTCACCCCTCCTCCCTCACTACCAATCACACCCTCGCAATCTCCCTCCCCCCTCCTCCCTCGCTCTCTCTCACCCCGCCTCCTCTCCCTTCTCCTCCTCCCCCCCTCCACTTCTCCCTCCTCCTTCACCCCCTCTCGATCCTCCTCTTCCTTACTCGCACCTCCCCCTTCCCCCCCCCCCTGCCCCTCCTCCTGCCCCTCCCAGCACTTCCCTTTCATCCACATCTAACGCCAATAAATCCGGGTGATTGCAGATTTTCCTCAGCACATCGATCCCATACAAGCTGTTTCGATACCGCTCCAGAATCTGCCGCATCTCCTCGCTCTGCAGAAACGCGCGGTACAGCGTTCGTTGGAATCTAGTGATAGGCACCAGCAGCACGCGTTCCGTCTTTTCTGGCAATTGAATGTCAACGTCCGCCTTGACTCTCCGGAGCAGGTATGGAAGGATGACGTCTCGAAGCACAACGGCACACTTGTAAGCCGTGGCGACCTGCAGTTGGGGAAAGTGGGGAGAAAAGACATGAAGTCACGACAGCAGGAGCCCTCGCTCCGTCTTTTCTGGCAATTGAATGTCAGCGTCCGCCTTGACTCTCCGGAGTAGGTATGGCAAGATCACGCCTCGAAGCACAACGGCACACTTGTATGCCGTGGCGACCTGTGGGGATACGGAAGGGGGGAAAAAGGGATGCCCGCTGCATGTCTGTGACTGCCTCCACATCTGCCTTCACTCACTATCCGTTCACTATCCACTCACTATCCACTCACTATCCACTCACTATCCGTTCACTATCCACTCACTATCCACTCACTATCCACTCACTATCCACTCACTATCCGTTCACTATCCACTCACTATCCACTCACTATCCACTCACTATCCCCTCACTATCCACTCACTATCCACTCACTGTCCACTCACTATCCACTCACTATCCACTCACTATCCACTCACTATCCCCTCACGATCCCCTCACTATCCCCTCACTATCCCCTCACTATCCCCTCACTATCCCCTCACTATCCCCTCACTATCCCCTCACTATCCACTCACTATCCCCTCACTATCCCCTCACTATCCACTCACTATCCACTCACTATCCACTCACTATCCCCTCACTATCCACTCACTATCCACTCACTATCCACTCACTATCCACTCACTATCCACTCACTATCCCCTCACTATCCCCTCACTATCCCCTCACTATCCACTCACTGTCCACTCACTATCCCCTCACTATCCCCTCACTATCCCCTCACTATCCCCTCACTATCCCCTCACTATCCACTCACAATCCCCTCACTATCCCCTCACTATCCACTCACTATCCACTCACTATCCACTCACTATCCACTCACTATCCACTCACTATCCACTCACTATCCACTCACTATCCACTCACTATCCACTCACTATCCACTCACTATCCCCTCACTATCCCCTCACTATCCCCTCACTATCCACTCACTGTCCACTCACTATCCCCTCACTATCCCCTCACTATCCCCTCACTATCCCCTCACTATCCCCTCACTATCCACTCACAATCCCCTCACTATCCCCTCACTATCCACTCACAATCCACTCACATCCTCTCACCATCCTCTCAACATCCTCTCACCATCCACTCACCATCCTCTCACCATCAATATCATTCTCCATTCAGCATCACTGCTCATTCCACCCACCATCTTACTAGCACCCTTACCTGCAGGGGAGTGGCGTTGAGGTATCCACCAATGGCTATGGGGAGAGCAAACTCTGTTGAGAACACTGGTAGCGTGCCCAGCCTGACCTCCGTGAATGGGCGTTGGGGTGGGAGAAGGGGGGAGGGGGAAAGAGGAGGGTGTTGGGCGTTGAGGTATCCACCAATCACAATGGGGAGAGCAAACTCTGTTGAGAACACTGGTAGCGTGCCCAGCCTGAGGGTTTAGGTGGGTGAGGGGGGAAAAGGGGAAGAGAAGGATTTAGAGCGTTGAGGTATGAACCAATCGCAATGGGGAGAGCAAACTCTGTTGAGAACACGGGTAGCGTGCCCAGCCTGACCCTGAAAAACGATTAACAGTAGGGGGGGTTGGGTTTTGGGGGGGGGGATGAGGAGGGTTGGAAAGTGCGGGAAAGGGGGAAGAGTGGGGCTTTGGGCGTTGAGGCATTCACCAGTGGCCATGAGAAGGGCAAACTCCGTTGAGAAGCAAGTGCCCTGAGGACCTAGCAAGAGGCTATCAAAGCAAGGGCAAGCACCCACCTGCCAGGTAAACGAAGTCCATGAGCGACCAGAGCTCGTCCAGCCGGTTCTGAATCGGCAATCCGCTCAGCAGCAGGCAGTGCGACGTGCGCAGCTGCTTGCATGCAATCGTGGTGTCTAGAGAATCCCCTAGTGAAACAGAACCTCTAGGAAACCTACTAAAACCCTAGGGTATGAATCTTCAGGGGGTGATGAGCAGGAATAAGCCCCTACATACCTGCCAGGGTAGACAGAGTCCATGAGCGACCAGAGCTCAGCCAGGCGGTTTTGAATCCGCGATCCACTCAGCAGCAGGCGGTGGGGCGTGTGGAGCTGCTTGCATGCAATCAGGAGCCCTGGGGAATGAATGAACAAGGGGCTCATGGAACTAGGGTAACCGCTTACCTGCCAGGGTAAACAAAGTCCATGAGCGACCAGAGCTCGTCCAGCCGGTTCTGAATCGGCGATCCGCTCAGCAGCAGGCGGTGCGGCGTGCGCAGCTGCTTGCATGCAATCGTGGTGTCTGCATCAGGGTTCCTGATCCGATGGCCCTCGTCGAGTATCGCGTACCCCCAATCAACGGCCAGGAACAGCTCTCGCCGCAACCGAACCTGCTCGTATGTGGTGATGACGAGGCTGTTGCCTCGGGCCAAACCTGATGGTGCTGGTACGGGGACAAAAGAGAGGGCAGTTAGCGGCGAGTTTGGGTGTGATTCTAACGAGGGTTTCTTCGGTAGGGTCACCCCAACAGCGGATTCGAGAGCCTTTCTCCATTTCTCGTAGACTTGATGCTGCCGGTTGATGCTGCTCTTGCTTCCACTACCCTTCATGCCACCGCTGTTGCTCTCACTGCCCTTACCCCCACTGCCTTTTTTCCCATTGCCTTTGCCCCCACTGCCCTTACTCTGCCCTCTTCCCTTGCTTCTTCTCTTTCCTGTTCCATCTCCTTCCTCCTCCTCGTTGTCTTCTTGCGTCAAAATTTCCCTCCCTCGTCCTCCACTTCCCCCTCTTCCCCCTACTCCCCTCCTCTCTCTTGCAGCTCTCATTCTCGACCCGGCCTGCATTCTCTGTAACAAAGCATCCACCCTTTCTCCCTCCTCCTCGCCGCCCTCCTCTCTCCCCTCATCCTCTCCCTCACACTCCACCTCATCCTCCTCTTCATCCTCTTCCTCCTCCTCCTTCCCCTCATCCCACTCGGACTCTTCCGTTTCCTCTCCTGACTCCCATTCCTCCTCTTCCTTTCCCCTTCCCCTCTTCCCCCTCTTCGCCTTCTTCCCCTTCTTCTTCTTCCTTCCTTTCCTCCCACCTCCCCCTCTCCCCTCTTCCTCTCCCCCCCCCTCCTCCTCCTCCTCCGCCTCCTCCCCATCCGCCTCTCCAATTCCCCCAGAGTCATGCAAAATCACCGGATTCAGTTCCGGACACCAGATCCGAACCTCCCTCTGCCACTGCCGAAGCAGCGTGACGGGGCAGACCAGCAGGCTTGGGCGGTACAGCCCCGAACGTAGCAGCGAGGCTAGGAACGCAGCTACCTGCACAGTCTTTCCCAGACCCATTTCGTCCCCTAGAATCCCCCCTACCTCCTGACAATGCAACTCCCACAACCACTTAACCCCCGTCCTTTGATACTCAAACAGTTTATTATACACTGAACCTGGTATTCGTAGCCCCCCCTCTAGAATCACATCATCACTATCAACATCAGTATCAACATCATCATCTACAACATCACCATCATCATCATCAGCATCCACATCAGCATCATCAGCATCCATGTCAGCATCATCAGCATCCACATCAGAATCATCCACATCAGCATCCACATCAGCATCCCAGCTCTCCATCTTCCCTTCTCCTCCCCCACCCTCCACCCCATCCACACCCACCTCCACCATCCTATCCCCCTTCCCTTCTCTCCACGCCTTACCAGGAAGCGGTCTCCTCACAACCCTCCTCCGCTTCCTCCTCTCCCCGCCACCTCCTTCCCCCCCTCCCCTCTGCCTCCCTCCTAATATCTTCGCAAACTCTTTCAAAGGCTCCGGGACCTTAGGGACCTCATCCGCCCCTAGAAGCTTAGTCTGCCTCTTCCCCTGCCTCTCTCCCTCCCCTCGCCCTAACCCCACCCCTTCTCCCTCTCCCCTACCTCCTCCTCTGCTCTCTATACCCCCATGTTCGTTCTCCTCTCCTTCCCTCTCTCCCTCCCTCTCGTCCCTGCCCTCCATTCCCCCACCCCTGCTGCTTCCTTCCCCAAGCTGTGTCTTTTGGGTGGGCCCTGACTGAACGGCCTTGTCAAAGCCCTTGAGCTGTGCGAAAGGAGTGATGAGACCCAAACGAATGAGCCTATCCCGCTCCTGAAGTAAGGGATCGGGATGTCAGGGGGGAAAGGGGGATGGGAAGAGGGAGGGGGGGTTGAGATGGAAAAGCAGGAAATTGAACGGCCTTGTCAAAGCCCTTGAGCTGTGCAAAAGGCGTGATAAGACCCAGGCGAATGAGCCGATCCCGCTCCTGAAGCACGGAATTGAGATGAGATGCAAGGGTTGGGAGGGAGGCAATGCACGCGATAAGGAAAGTAGGTGTCAAAAGGAAAAGAAGCAGGGGGGGGGGGGGGGGTAGGGATGGCACTAGGTGAATAGTCTGTATCGCCCTTACTTCGGCTGATATTGAAATAACAGCAACTTGCATACCATATGACATACCGTTTCCACGAATCCAGTTGCAGCAGCACCATCCAGCGCCGAATCAAAATCATCCACGTCATCCATCAGCATTGTAGCCTCCACCTTCCCCTTCCCCTTCCCTTTCCTCTTCCCCTCATCCACCCTCGCACCCTCCCCCTCCCCTCTTCCACTCTCGCCACTTCTCCACTCTCCACCAATCTGCGCCTTACCCTTGCCCTTCCCTTTCCCCACAACCCTTCCACCTTCCCGTCCCCCATCCAAAACCCGACCCCTTCCTTCTCCCTTTCCTCCTCTACCTCCTCTCCCCTCTCCCTCTCCGCCACCAGCCAGCCTTCCCCCAGGCCCAGCCTCCCCCAGTCGAGCCTCCCCCATCTGAGCCTCCCCCAGCTGAGCCTGCAGCTGCCTGCGCAGTTTCAGGAGGCTCTTCACGCGCTCCTCTGTCAGCGCCAGCTGGAGGTTCCTAGCGGTACTGTCTGCCTGTGAGATCTTGCCAGTCCCGGTCGCCTGTAGGTTTAGGCTCCTTGCTGTGCCGTCCGCCTGGCTGCCAGATATTTTGAGTGCGACACGGTCGCGATCCCCTTCCACAATAGTAGCAATATCAGCACCCTTCTTCTCTTCACCCGCACCATCACCTTCATCCTTGCTCGTGTCCTTAATCTTTTCCTTCTTCTCCCTCATTTCATCCTCATCCCTTGCAGCCTGCCCACTGCTGCTGTCAGAAATTCCAAATCCGGTAACCTTCGCGCTCTTCCCCTTCGCCGCTCCTCCTGCTCCAGACCCCCTCCCAAGCCCTCTCCCACGCCCTCTCCCAATCCCTCTCCCGCTCACGCCTTTACCCGTGTCCGCTCCTCCGCTTTCCCCACCTTTCAGCGCCATGAGCGCATCCCCTAGAGCGTTCAACTCCCTCTCCACTGCCCGTAGCTGCTGCTGCACCCTACCCGCCTGCACGGGTGGCATAATTTCGTTTCGAGACGTCTCAAAACTCTCCACTGCCTGCAGCTTCTGCCGCACCCTACCCGCCTGCACAGCTGGCATGATTTTCCTACCGTGTGACGCTTCACTGGTGAGTATGGATGCTACAACGGCCGAATTTGACGGCTGTACGGTCAATTTTGACGCCTGAGCAGTCAAACCTGACAGCTGAATGGTAGGATCAGACGACTGAACGGCCAATTCTGCTGCCTGAACGGTCGAATTTGACGGCTGAATGGCTGAATCTGACGGCTGAACAGGTGATTCTGCCGCCTTAACTATCGAATCTGAGGGCTGAACAAGCGGTTCGGATGCCTGAACGATGGATTGGACGGGAAAAACGGAGTGATCAAGAGCAGCATCCATCGGTGTACTATCATCTCCCTCTTGATCAATTTGTTCCGCCTTCAACGTCTGCTGCGGCTGCTGCTCCTGTTGTTGCTCATGCTGCTGCTCCTGCTCCTGCTCCTGCTCCTGCTGCTCCTCATCCTCCGTCTCCTCCTGATCCTCCATCTTCTCCTCCTCCTCAGCCTTGATAGCTGAGCCTCTCCAAGGTGAAACTTTAAACGCTTCGTCGCCTTCCTTCATTTCGCTGTCATCCACTCCTGCCATTTCCTCGGCAGCACTTTCAACTAGTTGATCCAGCTTTATTTTCGAGGGTTCTCCACTATCATTCATGTGGGATGTGCGTACTTGGGCCGATAGAAGAGCAGATTTTCCGTTCAGCACACACCCATGCGCGGGAGTCCTTCAGTTTCACCCCACAGACGACGATTGCTAGTTCCTTGTGCCTGTAAATGCGATGAAGCGTCGACGTCAAGCTTTTCTGAAACGTGGCTCTATGATTTGTTCTGCCTTGCCCCGACTCTTCTCTTGGTAGTTCCTGTCCCCTCCCCATAGTGTACCATTGGCCTCTTGTCCAACCTGACTTCCACACCTGATTGTCAGAGTATGCCCGCTCTTTTTTGTGTCCAGCCTGTATTTTGTTGCCGAGGCTCTCACTCCCGTATGTGATGGTCCTTGCTGGGCTTGCCCAGATGCGGCTGGTGGAGTACAGTAATTGAGAAGCCTAGGTTGCTTCGGCAGCGCCCCAGTTTGCCAAGTCAAAAACTGCCGAGCCTGCTTGTTATTGGTTTGGGCGAGCTTCCGTGGGAGAACGTTCGGAACGGACCAAAAGGTTGAACTTGGGAGATTCTGGGTGGAGAGGGCAACAATCGAATCCATTTCGAAGGGTATGTCCACCCGAAATTGTTTAAACTCCGTTGTAACACGGAGAAACAGCAGATACCATAAGGAAACGTTCTAAACCGCACAGAAGCTAAAACTTTTGGGACCCATAACAGGGACAAGAGCATCTATCTCACCCTGTCACTGGGAGCTTGCGTGACTCAGAATCAACCTTCGCATTGCAGGATCTATGACAATGGCTGGTCATGTTGGTAGTGACCTTCAAGCGAGACTCAGACGACTTCAGACTCTTCCAGCAAACAAGGAGTGTGCCGACTGTGGGTGTAAAAATCCTCGATGGAGCTCCGTTACCTACGGAATCTTTCTTTGCCTAGAGTGCTCTGGAGTTCATCGTGGTTTAGGTGTGCACATCAGTTTTGTTAGGTCGGTTGACATGGACTCTTGGAGTTCAGATCAAGTGACGCGAATGGAGGTAAGCATATGCGCTGATTGTGTATCTCCGATATACGGAATTTGAGCAAGCTCGGACTTCATGAATCTTGTCTTGGCAGAATGGTGGAAATCTAGCGTGGAAAAGGTTTCTGGATCAATATCAGGGCGAACAGAGAGTAACTGATCAAGCTAATCTTTATAAATCTCAAGCAGCTTCTTTGTACCGGGAGAAGGTGGATGCACTAGCTGCTGGACGCCAGTGGGTTTCATCTCCACCACCTCTACGCCAGCGGAGTGTAAGTGTTTTCATGAGACGTTGACTTAGATCATATGCTTCTGGACAACGCTTCATTCAACAGTCTCATCATGAACCTCACTGTTCTACAGGTTCCATCGCCCAGCTCCAAAAGTTCGCTGCGGGAGAAAAGTTTAACGAAGAGCATTTCCGCAATAGAGCACTGGGACGACTGGGGCGACGGCTGGACAACAGCGCATGCCTGATAGATGCTTTCACTAACCAGGATGCTTGTTGAAAGATGAAAGAATAATTACTTGATACAGCAAAAGATGCGGGACAAACTCCAAATGCACAATAAACCCTGAACATGCCTACCGAACATGCCTCAGCTTGCGAGCATTACTGCTCTGCAAGGGTTTTAGTTAAATTCTTAATAACCTTCTTCCAGATCGATTGGTTGGACATAGTTAATATTCACAGCTCGGTCGAGGCGATATGTTCAAGAGTTAGCGCCGACAGTACCCCAGCCCTCGCCCCAGTCATCCCAACTTTGCGAGGCGACGGCTCGAGCGGGAGGAGCGGTGCATCTTCTGCTGGTTCTCGAAGCGGCAGACGAGGCTCGGGATGCAGCTGGTAGGGTAGAGCGCGCCTGTAACAACAAACACCAAGTGAAAAGGAACAGCATTATTAGCATACTGATCGGCTGAAGTCCACTGGAGGGACCCACGAGACAGGGATGAGGAGCAGCACAAAGGATGAGGGAAAATGCGTAGGGGAAACTGGTATGTCATTGGAATAAAGGAAATCCAATTTAGGGTAAATGCTCACCACTGTCTTTTGCTTGGGCATCAGACCAGGAGGAGGGGTCCACGCTCGACCAGCGACAAGCACGTCCAGCTTTTCCCGGTAGTACTGCGCAGCAGGCGACGCGTATTTCTTCGCTATCGTCGCCGTCTCCGTCGCATCAGCGTACCGATCAAGGAAATCGTTCCACGCGGAATTTCCTCCAACCTCCATCCGCTTCAGCTGGGAGTCGCTCCACGAGTCCATAATGACGGAGCGGACGAAACTGAGGTGGACACCGAGGCTGCGGTGCGTGCCGGAGCACTCGAGGCAGAAAAAAATGCCGTATGTCACCGAGGCCCACTGCGGGTTCTTGCACCCGCAGTCAGCGCAGGCTTGGTTGCTGGCAATCGACTGCACCTTTCGTAGCCGGGCTTGCATCATAGGTGTCGCCATTGCGGACGCGAACAAGGAAACGTGCTAGGGTTGGTGAAAGGCTTCGGTTTAGGTTTGGATAACAGTTACAAGTACGTGTTCGGTGCTCGACGTAGGAAACCGCGGATGATTAATCACTACTGACAGACGTAGTACAGGTCTTAAGATTGATTGACAAAAATACGTAGACCATTCGTGGGTGTGCCGCGTGATAAGAGAGGTCACTCCTGTCGCCAAGACGTACGTTCGATTGTGAAAGCCTGGAGACGATACTACTGGCAAGCACTCAACGTCTCAGCAAGGAGCTCCGAACACAGGAAATAGAAGATCAATAGACGAGCAATGCAATCAAAACTACGGCTAGGATAGTAGGAATGGTTAGTCACGCTGTCACAAATAATTGAGGCCGATGGGTCGGTCTAGCAGCAGACACGGTTCTGAGGGGTGAGAGCGGAGCGGATGGCCCGAGAAAAGGGGGACGGGCAACCGACCGAAGGCGGGAGATGGGTGCGCGCCGCTCCAATAATTTCGTGCTGGGATGGATGGGGGATGCATGAAAGCGGGACTGCTTTTGCCTCTAAGACGGGGGAGAATTTGGGGGAAGTGGGGAAGTGGAATGGAAAGGAAGGATTCCGAACTCCCCAGCTTGACCCCCCAGTAGCTGGCGGCGATCCCTAGGCCCACGACCGAACAGAGGGGGAAACGCACTTAGAGTGGCGGTGGCTGTGGCTTCGCTCTGCGCGGTTGTTCGTGGACTCGTTGGCTTGTTGGATGCGCGGTATTGCACTTGGGGGAGAAAAGGCCTGCGCAGGCTTGAGAAACACGCGGAATTCAAACGTCGGTTGGCGGGCAAGTGAAGGGGCGGGGGTGTGCGCAGGGCGGAGAAGTGGCCGGGCCGGGGAGATGAGTGGGAGTCGCAGGGGAGATCGGTAGCCTGCGCTGGGCCGGAAACGCCCATTCCACGATGGTAGGTGAGTGGAACCGCATGCGACACGGCATGACCTTGGGAGATTCGACGTAGAGGACACGTGAGCCAATATTGTACAGGTGGTGGCGATGCTTTTCGCGACAAGTGCTCACCATAGTCGTTGCGACTGTCGCAATAGTTGGACGATTCAGATTGCGTGAACTTGATTATTAATGGCTCGATGCAGTCGCTCAAGCACGTCCATGACGCGCTGGTAAATCTGCAAGACGTCGCCTTTCAGGTTCGAAGCGCGTAGTTTCCGAACCATCAACCTCCGCACGTCGGATGAAGGTGGAGAAAACGCGGTACGAAAGCCTAGAAGTAGGCCCGTTTGCCTTTCGCGACACTGTAGCGGGGTTTTGGTGAGGCCCAAACCCTGCTGTGGATTGGTTGGTGAATATTTGCTGTCAGCCATGCCAGCAGAGCCTCACCTGATGACACCTGAAAACAGTTACAGCATTGCACAGTGCATGCCAGCACATCATCGCACTGTGCGGAATCGATCCGTTCGCTATTGTCACACAGCACGAAGCAGCTTCGTTGTGAGATGTGACTGGTTTGACTGAATCTCACCCCGTGAGGTGACCGTCCACGACCGTCCACGCCGAGCCCAGACCTTGACGGTCATCGTCACCGACTACACGGAGCTGTCTTTCTCGATATATGATCCACGCTGGAAAATGTAGTAATTTGGCTTGCTGTTCCTGACTGCTGCACTTAGTATCGGTACATTCCTGGAGCGCGTCACAAAAGCCTCGCGTCTCAAAAGACGAGATACAGTGCGGTGGAGAAGCTCGTTGCTTAGGTTTAATGCGGTGCAGAGCGGTACACTGCTTTTGTGACGCCCAAATGAAAGACATGTTTTAGCAGCAATCCTGCATTATGTACCGCCCTTCAGGCCAAAAAAAAAAAAGGCATGTGATTTCAGGGTTTAGGGTTATGAGGTGTGATGCTATACAGTTGGCAAAAGACATCTTGTTTCACTGCAGTTACCGGATCAAAATATAATGGCATACATTGCCTAATGAAGCAGCTTATGCAGCAACTGGGGCAGCATTTAGGGCCTTGAGGGGGTTGGTGATAACCGCATCAATCAAGCCATACTCCTTGGCCTCAGTTGCACTCATGAAGAAATCGCGATCCGTATCCTGGTAGAGCAAGGGCAAGAGAGCATGAGAGAAAAAGCAGGGGCAAGGGAGAATGGGAACTTCGAGATATATTCAAACATTGGCATTAATCAAGATGCCTGGATCACAAATCAACGACAGTATGCTATCGTTCGAGGCACCAATCTCAGCTGCACAGTCTTCAAATATGGTCGAATAATTACCACTCAGTAATCGTTCAGATTGGTCTCAGCACAGCACAGTATGAGAGCACCTCGAGGTCTCAATGCCCTCACTGCTCACCTTCCATGCTCTGACAAGCCCTCACTGCTCGCCTTCATGCTCTGACATGCCCTCACCTTCATGCTCTGACATGCCCTCACTGCTCACCTCATCACCTGTACGATCCTCTCACCTGGACGATCTGGTCATAGGATTGACCGGTGTGGTACGCCAAGTAACCGTTCAGGTTCGCCTTGTGATGCAGAATCTCGTTAGCCTGAATCTCAATGTCTGTCTGCTGTCCCTGTGCTCCTCCCAGCGGCTGATGGATCATAATACGGCTGTTGGGCAGGCTGTAGCGCTTGCCTGGTAACACGAGTGTGGTGGGGGGGAAGGTATGACAACGAGGGTATAAGAGAACATAATACGACTGTTGGGCAGGCTGTAGCGCTTGCCTGGGATAACGAGGGAAAGGAGAGGAGAGAGCGAATGGATTTGGGTGGGGGGGATGGGTGGAAAGAATTTGGCCGCGTATGCCCATGTGATCGCACTGACGACAAGTAATTAAAGAGCAACAACGAGAGGCAATGGGTGGAGTGCTAACATACATGCGGCTCCTCAGTCGAAACAGGCCACAGGTGGCAGTTCCAAGGAGGCATAAGAGATCAGCTCAGAATAGACCAACACACCTTTTGTTCCTGCTGACAGGAGGAAGGCTCCCATACTGCACAAGAAGGACGGTACGCAAGGCACCCAGACAACAAAACACAGAGTGGAAGGGAAAGGGTGAGGAAAAAAAAACGAGGCAAGGGTACGAGCGGGCAAGCATGCCTCTCTGGAACAACGCTGACCTGGCAGCAAGACCGACAGACGCAGAACTGACACACATGCACCCAACTCACACGCCACTTCCCCTCCCTCCGCTCCTCCCCCCCTCCACCCCCCACAGTGCGCCTTATGCGTGCACCATATTCACAAAAATGCTTCCATATCTTTAAAGGGCATGAGTGGAGGGAGCTGGCAAATATGCCACTCTCTGACACAATGCTGACCTGGCAGCAAGGCCGACACACACGGTGCTGACGTCAGGCCGGATGTGGCGCATGGTGTCAAAGATGGCCATGCCTGGGAGAGGGGGAGAACCGAGGACGGGGGGAGAGGACAGGGGGAGAGGACGGGGGGAGAGGACGGGGGGAGAGGACGGGGGGAGAGGACGGGGGGAGAGGGGAAGATGGGAGGGTTATGGGAAGGAGGCACTGGCATCAGTGGCACATGGTGTCAACGATTGCCAGGCTCTGAGTGACGAGGATGGGGGATTGGAGGGGGAAAGGGAGTGGGGGGGAGAAGCACGAGAGAGGGGGCTTGGGATGATTGAATGGTGCTGTCGTCACGCCAGATGTGGCGCATGGTGTCAATGGCCATGCCTGGGCGGGGTGTGGAAGGGAGGAAGGGGAAGGGAGAAGGGGGGAAGGGAAGGAAGAAGGGGGGAAGGGAAGGAAGAAGGGGGGAAGGGAAGGAAGAACGGAAGGGGTGGGAAACGCGGGAGGAACGGCGGAGGCACGCGTCAGGCCGGATGTGGCGCATGGTGTCAATGGCCATGCCTCAAGGGAAAAGGAGGGCGGGGCAGGAAATGAGTCTCTCAAATTCGTTTCGTCTCCCTCCATTCAGTCATCCCTCGCCCCTCCCTCGTATTGGTGCAGCCCTCCCTCCCACTCTCCCCACTCGCCATTCCCCAACCTCCACCCGCCGTTTCCCAGTCCCCACCGGCCGCTCCCCACTACCCCACTCATCCTAATCCCCGCACTCACCAGCAGTAACGGAACCACCAGGCGAGTTGACGTACATGATGATGTCCTGCATTCAAAAGGAGGGGGGAGGGGGGGGGAGAGAAGAGGGGTGGATGGGAGGGGAAAGGTGGGGGGGAGAGTGTGAATGAGCAGCCACGGAACCACCAGACGAAACTGATGGTGTCCTGCGTTGGTAATGAGATTGGTGGGACGGAGGGAGGGAGCGGCAGGGAGTGGGAGGAGTTAGGGAGAGAAGGGAGAGCGAAGGGAGCTTTTGAGTCGACTCAAAAGGGAGCGGCAGGGAGTGGGAGGAGTTAGGGAGAGAAGGGAGAGCGAAGGGAGCCACCAGGCGAGTTGACGTACATGATGATGTCCTGCGTTGAGGGGGGGGGGGAGGGGGAGGGGAGAAGGGGGGAAGGGAAGGGTGTGGGGGAGGGGTTGGATGGGGGGGATGGGATGGTTGCGGCGACGAGAGAGAGAATGGAACCACCAGGCGAGTTGACATACATGATGTCAAGGGAGAACCACACAGGAGCCAGGCAGCACCATTCGAGGGGGGAATCGGAGAGTGGGGAGATGGGGAGGTTGTGAGGGGGAGCAAGGGAGCCGAGAGTGGTGCAGCGGAAAAAGTAGGGAAGTAACAGACGAGTTGACGTGTGGAATAGCTGGCTTAATTGGAAGGAGGAGGGGAAGAGCCGGGGAGGGTTTGAAGGGGGGGGGGGGGGGGGGGGGGGGAGGAGAGGAGGAGAGGGGGGGATAGGGGGAAAAGGGAGGATGGGGGAGAAGGGGGCGGGGAGGGGGGGAGCGGGGGGGGGAGGGTGAAGGGGCGAGCGAAAACAGGCTTTTGGGAAAGAGCTATGATGCGAACCTATTGATGAAATTGACGGCTGCGATTGACTCACCTTGGTGGGATCAACGGCGTCGAGGTACAGCAGCTGCGCCACGATGAGGTTCGCCATGTCATCGTCCACCGCGCCGCCGCACCGGATGATGCGCTGAAGGGGGAAAAAAGGGGGAGGGGGGAGGGGGGAAGGGCGAAGGGGTGGGAGGGCGAGGGGGAGGGCGGGCCGAGGGGAAGGCGTAACGTGTGAGGAGAGAAGGGGGTTGCCACGATGAGGATCGCCGTGTCGTCGTCCACTGCGCCGCCGCACCGGATGATGCGCTGAAGGGGGGAGAAAGGGGGGAAGGGCGAGGGAGGGATGCAGGCCAAGGGGAAGGCGGGACGTGTAAGGAGAGAAGGGGGGTGTATCGATGAGGTTCGCCCTAACGTCGTCCAATGCGCTGATTGGTGGGAAGAGGAGGGGGGAGAGGGGGAACGGAGAGGGGACGGGGGCCGGGGGGGAAAGAGGGTATTGCGTCAGGAAGACAGCAGGTTGGCAGGGAGAAGGAAAGGTGCACCCCTCACCTAATGGTGCGGTAAAGGGAGGGGAGTGCGGAGAACGGGTGAAATGCGGGAAAGTGGATTGCGGGTATGGGGGCGTGAGGGGATGTGAGCGGATGGGAAAGGGGCGGGAGTAATTGGCGGGTAACAAACTATTGGATACCATTGCTATCCCATTAACCCCCCTCAAACGCACGAACACCCGGGACGGGCTAAGCCACGTGCCCGACTGAACCGTACGTACGTTTTGAAAGAGCTGGGAGATAACCGACTGGAAGCGCTCCTGCAGCATGGGGGGCGGCGCTCCTTGCCCCGCCATCACCTCCGGTGCGCCCATGAACAGACTCTGCGGCACTTCCAGATCGTTCCTGGGGTGGTTGGGGGAGGGGGGGAGGGGAGGGGATTGCGCGGAAGGTTAAACAATATTTTTTTGGGGGGGGGATGGGTGGAGGGGGTGGTGGGAGGGAGGGGGGAGGGAAGAAGGAAGGGGATGAGAGAATGAGGGGAGAGCGGAACGCAGGAGAAAATCCACAAATTTCGCCTCCGACTACTCCTCCAAGCGAGGACAAAAAAAGTGAATTACTCTGTTTGCATTATAAACATAACCGCATTGCGCATTATGTAGATTGATTTCGTACTCTGCATTGTGCATAATGAACTGCGTTTTCCTCGCGGGAACTCACTTGATGGACCAGATATCGCCGCTGTTGGCGGCAGAGTTCGGGGTCCAAAGGCGCTCCGAGCGGACGGCGCTGCAGCGCACGCCGGCAGCGGATGCGCGGCTGAGGCAGGGGGAGAACACGCGGAGAAAGGAAACACATCGGGGAGAATTGAAGAGGCGGGAGGAAAGGGGAGAAGGGGGAGCGGAAGGGAAGGGGAAGGGGACGGGGGTATGGGAAGGCAGGAAGTGGGGGAGGGGCGAGATGGGGAGGAATAAGTAGGGAACGACGGAAACTATAGAAGATTGAAGGGAGGCAGAAGAACGATCGGCAAGCCAGTTGAAATCGATCGCTGACCGTCGATTCTCGGGTACATAATCTGGTAGCTCAGCAGACAATGCACAGGATCGATCACCATCGATTGCCTACGCGGGCTTAGTTCAAACCCGCAGATACTGAAAGTGTCGAAAACATTGAAAGTAATCGCCAGATCGGACGTGAGATGTCGAAGGTCTGCTGAATCCCTACTCCACAACGTACTACGCAGGCCGCATAGACGAGACGAATTAGGCTTCTGGCAACGCACAGACTAGACGTGATTGCTACGCATTGCGCATCAAGAATGAATCACGAAGCATGCACTGTAAGCTAGCATATCTAAGCAACGGAAACTACTAAAACAACGCCTGCTCACGCTAGCGAGACTCTACAACACCTCATCTAGAAACAACGGAATTTAAGCCTCTCTGAACTAGCGCCTTCATCACACGACCTCGTAACACTACATCGGTACTACCTCGTCAGTACTTCGGTAACTCTACCTCGGTACTACATCGGTAACACTACCTGGGCGCGGCCATCTGTAGTCTCTTGTGCTGGCTCGCCTTCAGGCTCGTGCTACCCACGAAGGCTGACGGCTTCACAGCCGCTGCCGTCTGCATCGTAACGGCCGACATGGTCTTTGCCGGTTGATCGGTTATTGACGACGGCTGATCTTCCGTGCAAAGACAAATTCTGGGACGATCACAGCACAGAGAGACTAAGCAACTCCCAGAAGCAATAACTACAGGCTAGGAGGAAAGCTAGCCTCAAGAAAACTATTCAAGGAATTTCGGAGTCCTAGGGTTCCAGGGAGGAAGTTCCAGAAAATGCAGATGCTGGAACTATTCATTCGTACACCTCCGTACAGCAGCAAATGCTGGCCGTTGGATAAATGAATATCCGAATCGACCCTTGAGAACTTTGTGTTCTTGAAGTGGGGCGCACAGAAGGTTGTGTGCGACAATGGCGCAGGAGAATCTAGACGGCGGAGCTGGAAAGGGCAACGTGATAGGTGATGAGGCGACGTGGCGAATAGAGACTGAACACGCAGCGAATAACGCTACGCCACGCTGGCGCGGATGTGACGGCTGTCGTGTTCAGCTCCACCATCAAAAGCAAAACCAGCTGTTGAATATTGTTACGAGTGCAATTGAGTGAACGAACGAGAATTGCACTATCGAAGCAAGCAATACAAATGAGCGAAGGCATGAGCGAACATTATATAGCGAAACTACAGTGGTAACGGTAATGGTCGCGCGACGAGCCTGGGACTGAGGTTAGGAAAGTGTCGAAGCGTAGGTCCGGAGCGCGGGTTACCAGCCGAGCCGTGAGGTCGGGATGCGATGTGCGAAAAGGGCGGGATGATGAATGATGCGATGGTCGCGAGTGGTAACGGTGCTGACTGAGGTGCTACAGTGATGTACGCGTTGAGCAGGGACGCGAAGTAAGGAAAAGGGAATTTCCTTACACTACCCCCCCTCCTAAGGAGGTCCTCCTTATGAAAGCGCGTGGATGTCTCGGAAATTGCGGCTACGCAGGTAGTCGGTGACGACGGGGTGATTTTCAACTTTCTCCAGGGGAACCCAATTGTCCTCGGTGGGGGTACAATCTTTCCAGCGGATCAGAAACTCCACTTTTCGGGCTCCTCGAGGGTCGCGAACTCTGTGGCTCAGGATCTTGTCGGGGGTGATGACTGGTTCGGTTGGGGGTCGTGTCATGCTGGTGGGTCGATGTCGTGGGAGTTGGCTGGTGGATGGCACGTAAGGGCGAAGTAAGCTGACGTGGAACGAGGGGCTGACGTACCAGTCAGCAGGGAGGAGGAGGTGCGCGGTGACTGGCGTGACCATGTGACTGATTCGAAATGGCCCACAGTATCGAGGGCGGAGTTTTGGAGTGATGGGCAGGCGGAGTTTCTGAGTGTCGAGTAAAACAAGGTCGTCGGGCTGATAAGTAATGGGTCTGCGATGGCGATCGGCGTTGCGTTTAGCGATGATGTTTGATTTTTTTATTGCTTCTGCTGCCCTGGTCCGTTCTAAAGCAGAATCTCGGCGAACTGTTGTGCTCGTGGGACGGAGTTGTCGGGATTCGGTGTCATGGGTACTGTTGGGTCCTGTCCGTAATTCAAGTAAAACGGCGACTGTTGCGTCGTGGCTGATGGTGCGTTATTGTATGCGAACTCGATGAGTGGCAGCTGCTGTTCCCACGTATTCGGATCGTCGCACGTGGCTCGAATCAGCTGCTCCATGGTCTGATTCGTCCGTTCCGTCTGTCCGTCGGTTTCGGGGTGATAGGATGAACTGAACTGTAAGCGCGTGCCGAACTGCTGCCACAGGTTCCGCCAGAAGTTGCTTGTAAATTTCGTGTCTCTGTCGCTGATGATCGATGCGGGTATCCCGTGTAGTCGAACGACGGTGGTGATGAAGACTCGGGCGGTTTCCTCGGCTGTGATTGATTTCCTGCATGCTGCGAAATGAGCCATCTTCGTTAGTCGATCGACGACGACCAGGATCGCGTCATTCCCACTCGCCCCAGCTGGTAACCCCGTGACGAAATCCATCGTCACCTGCTGCCAAGCACGCTCTGGGGGCGGGATGGGTTGTAATTGTCCCGCTGGCCGCTTCCTGCTTGACTTCATGAGCTGGCAAGTGGGGCACGATGCCACGTGTCGTTGCACATCGGTCAACATTTCTGGCCAGTAGTAGTACCGCTGTAGCTGCTGCCGTGTTTTTTCTACCCCGAAATGTCCCGAGGTAACTCCGTCGTGTGCTTCCTGTAACAGTAGTTCCCGCAGTAGCGTGTATCCTGGTACCCAGATGCGGTCGGTTCCAGCTTTTACGTAATAGACTCCTTTTGCCGCTGCGAATTGCTGTGAGTTGCCTCCTGTAAAGAACGGGTTTGTTTGATATCCGTGGGTAAATAGGCCTGTCAGTAGCGGGCTGGTCTGGGCGAGTAGTACGCGTGGATCTGGGCAGTGGGGCGGGTCAGTGCGTCGGCGATATTCGAGGCTCCTTTTTTGTATGTGACCGTATAGTGAAAATTCGACTCGAGGAAATCGAGCCATCGAATCTGCCGTGGGTTGAGGTGGGGCTGTGCGCGGAGGTACTGTAGAGATCGATGGTCTGTCCGTACTGTCACGTCTGCGCCGGTCAAGTAGCAGCGCCACACTTTGAATGCGTGCACGATCGCGAGCATTTCGCGGTCGTGTATCGGGTAATTTCGCTCAGGCGGATGTAGTTTGCGTGATTCGTAGGCGATGGGTTGGAGGCCGTCGCCGAATTCCTGTAACAATACAGCTCCGATGGCGATGTCACTTGCGTCGGTAACCACTTCGAAAGGGCGGTGGGGATCAGCGATGCGTAGAACGGGTGGTGAACAGAGAACGTTTTTCAGGGCAGAGAAGGCAGCATGCTCTTTCTCCCCCCACGTAAAAGCGACCCCCTTACGCAGTAAATCAGTGAGTGGGGCTGTTAAACGTGCCATGTCGGGCACGAACCGTCGAACGTAATTAACAAAACCTAAAAAACTCTGCAGTTCCGTGATGCTCGTCGGGGGGCGCCACGCTTTTACCGTATCCAGCTTCTTTGGGTCAATCTCAACCCCAGCCTCCGAAATGACGTGACCTAAAAACTCTAGCCTGTCCCGAAAAAACTCGCACTTGGAGCCCTTGGTGAGTAGCCGATGTTCCTCCAAAACCTTAAAAACTGCTTCAAGATCCACTAAGTGCTGCTGCTTATCCCGGCTGTAAACTAGAATATCGTCCAGGTAAACTATCACGCATTTATCTAAAAGTGGTCTAAACGCCTCGTTCATAGTCATCTGAAATGTCGCAGGCGCGTTCGTCAGCCCGAATGGCATTACTGTACACTCGAATGACCCGTACCTAGTCCTAAATGCTGTTTTGGCGCAGTCCGATGGTTCGACCCGAATCTGATGGTAACCTCCCCGTAAATCTATTTTCGAAAAGACTCGTGCTGTTCGCAGTTGGTCGATCAGTTCGTCGGCGCGGGGGATGGGGTATCGCGATTTGACTGTTACCCTGTTAAGCGCTCGGTAGTCGATGCACATGCGGAAACCTCCGTCTTTTTTCGGTGTGAACAGTATCGGTGCGGCGAACGGTGACGAGCTCGGTCGGATAAACTGCATCTCTAACAGGTAATCTAACTGCTTCCTTAACTCGTCGAGCTCGGGCTGTGTCAGTCGAAATTGCCGCTGTACAATTGGCTGTGCCCCCGGTTCTAACTCGATCCTATGGTCGTGCGCCCGCTGAGGTGGCAGTCCCTGTGGTAAATCATCCGGAAATATCCCCGGGAACTGTTTCAGTAGTGCCTGTAGTTCGATCGGTACAGTTGCCAGCAGTTTCTCCAAATCACTCGGCTGCTCATCTTTTTCTACGAGTGCGATATCCACTGCGTACACGTCAGCTCCAGCAGCGACAGCCCGTTTCATCGTGATGGCGTTGACCTGGACCGTCGAAGATTTGGGTGGCTGCCAGCGAGGTAGAACGACCCAGTTACCACTACTTCGCACTGTGCAGCTCCCCGTCGTCCAGTCGATCCGTGGGTTGTACCGTCGCAGCCAATCACGTCCCAATAAAATGTCGTGCCCATCCAGTGTCGTCGCGAGCATTTCCTGTGTAAACCCGAAGTTTCCCCCGCAGCGGACTTTTACGCGCTCCACCTTTTCCCGTATGGCCAGGGGCGTGCCGTCGACTAAGCGTGCATCTATCTCAGGTAAACATCGGTTAAGCGTTAACTGTAATTTTCGTGCGGTTGCGGTATTAACTAAGCTGTGGCTTGCTCCTCCGTCAATGAAGATCTTCACTGCTGCTCCCTGTATTTTCCCGTAGATCAGTACCGGGCAATCCGTCGCTGTACCCTCCTTATTCATCCGAGCCCGATCGATGGCGTGAATCGTTACTGTGACTCGGTGAGGGTCGGTGTGGTTGGGCGAGCAGGCAGTCTCGTCAGTAGTTGGCCCAACTTCTACTGACTGCTGGCGTTTCCCTGCCTCCGAGACTCCCTCCCCTGCTCTGCTCCTCGACGCCTCAGCTCCTCTGGACATTCGCTCTTGCGATGGCCCGGCCGGTTGCAAGCAAAGCAGCGCCCTCTAAACGGCGCGGCAGCTGCATTCGCTGCAACGGCATGTACAGTGGCGTGCTCGGTCGGTCCCCGAGGACGATGTCCGTAATAGGACCCCGGTCTCGGTCGGCGTAGGATATCGATTTTCTCGGCGA